GATATATACACACATATATGTATGTTCACAGCAGCACTATTTACAATAGCTGAGTTTTGGAAACAACATAAGAGCCCAAGGACAAATGAGTGGTAATGACAATGTGGTATATAATACACATAATGAAATACTACTCAGCTATTAAAAAAAAAAAAAGATGAAATTTTGCCACTGTGACAACAAGGATGGAAATGGAGGGGATTATGTGGAGTCAAATAAGTTAGAAGGAGAAAGACAAATACTGGGTAATTTCACTCATATGTGGAATTATAAAGAAACAAAACAAAGGAGCTGAAAAAACTAAAGCAGAACAAACCTGTCAGAACTCTGACAGCAGAACTGAAGCTACCAGAGAGTGAGGGTAAAGAGAGGGAATGCCCAGTAGACTATCATGGGGGACTATGGCTGCTTTGGTGGGCATGATGTGGTAACACACGTGATGTGGTAACACACCTAAATTATATACAGTGATCAATGTTACCTCAATTAAAAAATGTTTTCTATAAGCAAAAAATACGGAAGAAAATGGCTCAAGTAACTAAAACCAATAGAAATTAGAAGTAAAAAATGGAAATTCCTTACATCAGCATCAAAGATGAAAAACAGCTGGGCTTATGCCAACTAAATCAGACACTCACATAAATGCAAATTTTATTACAAGAATTATTTTGAAAGCAAACTAGACATTACAAGCATTTACATTTATTTACATTAAAATTTAGATAGAAAAAAAAACAGAAAGAAGAAAATGTACACAAAATACAATTTTTCCATCACTGAATTACAAGAAGTCACAATGGAAAAAATAGAAATGCACAGTTAATAAAATGGATGTAAATGGCACTGTCACTTTCTTAAGAACAGTCTTCTCTTTTTCATATAATTTTACTAAAATTTAAGGACAGACAACATAACTGAAGAACTGAAATTTGCTTTGGGTGAAATGATCTAACTTGCACTTTCTGTGTTTCCACTGCTGGACCTACCCCATCCAAGTTGTGCAGCTGAAGCTCAGTTACCTGCTGTTACACAAGGCAATAGGTGACAAAATCCTTCCTGTTTGATCCAGGTGAATTTTAGATCCTATCTCATTCTCAGGCTTAAATCTCATGGCTCTGTCATTGACTTCTACCTTAGATTTTCCCACAGGCTTTGACTGGCCTCTCTGCTCCCATTTCTAATGTCTTGGGATCTTTAAGAAATACAGCATCTCAGGTCCTGTCCCTGGAAGCATGGAGAAGCCAAGTGGAGTGAGCACACCAGAGAACAATGTGGCTTTGCAGCACTGGAAGTGATCAACAGTGACTGACCACTCTGACATGCTCCTGTTAGGTAGGCTGCAAACCCCTGTTTGGCAGGGGTAAGGGATACCCAAAGAAAAAGATGTCTTGGAATTCTGCAAAAAGCCTGAAGCTTTGGTTTTACATGCCATTTCAAACATAATTACAAGCTCAAGGCAAGTGTTTATGATCATTTATCTCATTTTGAAGTTGACAAGGTAATGTTTCCCAAATAGCCATTTCAAAGGGGGCTACTTCTGTGGCCTGTTAAAAATCTTATTGCTAAACCTTGAAAACCTGAATTAAGTTCACTGGTTTACTACAAACTTTAGTACAAACTGTGACTAATTTGAATAAAGCTGCTATGAAAAAGATCTTGGCTAGGAGAAAAAAAAAGCAAATTAATTTTTTCCTTCAAGTAACCAGCTAAGTTTGTGAAAACTACTATTTTTATCATATTTGTAGCTTCCAAGGTATATTTCAACATCAACAGTGGCACACTGGTTCTTCATTATTTAGGAAAATATCAGCTAGCAAACACTGGTATAAAGTGGTTTCAGTAAGTAAGAATGCATATTTAACCAGAGATGCCTAGAGAGGATAGGAAAGACATAAGAATTGCTATTACTCCTGGGAAAGACTGTTAAATAACCAGTCTGAATTACTGAGAAAAGGAAAGTTAACAGCCAGGTCTGTGATTAATCCCTCTCGAGGAATGATCTGACCTCATATCAAACTCCCTACAACTCTGAAGGTTGGTGGGGATCCTCTAATGAGGTCATTACTCATTACTAACCTAAGAATGGAGATTCCTTAGCCTGTTGTACCAGGTGTGAGGATTGCTCAATGTAAAATTTGTAATTCATCAACTACAGTTACGCTAAAAAATAAGAACTAGTCACTAACCCTATCAAGGGCTACTTAAGGGAATTTAAGCTGAAACTCCAGACATGGCAGCTTCTATACGCTGATGTGCCTGGTCTTCTCATCAGCCCTTTCTTAACCTTATTATCAGACACTGATGACTGGGGAAGGGCGCTGGAGATGCATTTACGTGTTTGGGGCCTCTGTAATATTACCACTGTGCTTCCTGTTAAAGCCAGAGGGAGGTAAACCAGCAACTTCTAAAAGTTTGACTGATAATTTTAACCTGGACTCACTATTTCAGTACTGCAACTGGCAAATTCCTTTCCTGCAAAAGTCATAATTTCTAGGTCTGGCTATCATTGAGTACACTTTGCACCTCCCTACCCACAAGGAAAACGAATATTGGCTTTTACTGTATTTGAGTTCTTGAAAGATTTTCTTTTATTCTATCCATATCATCCTGATCATAACCAAAAATCCTAGGTACCTGAGCCAATCTATTCCATACTGTTAAAGTGGGATTACTCCATGGGTTTTCTGATAGAAAAATGATGAGTATGTTAAAACAGTGACATGTAGCAGTGATTTCAATCCAATAGTAGACACTTAAAACAGTTTCTCCTAGAGTGATTCATATATTACAGAATCAATTGTCAAACATGGAAACTTTCTCAACAAATTCTTCTTTAATAACGGTATCTTCTTTAATAATGGTAATTGCATAGGCAATATAAGATAAAAATATCTACACAAGCATATTATCTCTTTAGTAAAAAAAAATAAATGTGCTAAGTAAAATAAGGTGGGTTAGGCACATCCAAGGAGTCACAGAGTGGCTTACACACAGCTATGATTTTAAGACTAATTTCATGACATCCTGTAAAATCATCAACCTTCTATTATATATTGTCTTATTTTTTCAATTTAATGTTCAAAAGGGAAAGAAAACATGCACCTTGAAATTTATGTAATCTGTTATTTATAAATAACAAACTTAACTTCTATAAAATACTATTTTATTTTACTTTAATTCATTACCAGCTAGTAGGTCTGCCGATGCTGATGAACTAGAAGCAGCCTGAGGTGCAGGTTGGGGTTCAGAAGCACTACTTCCAAATGCATCTACCCATTATCCATTATGCAGCAAAAAGTAAAAGAGTGTAAACAGTAAGTACAGTAAGTAACTTAAGTGTTCTGCAGAGAGAGGCATAGACAAGACGCTTTGAATGGTGAGCTAGAGTCCTATGGATATGTGAAATGATTGCATGAATTGAATTATGCTATGACCAGTTTATTCCCTCAAAAAAGAGCTCCAGAATAGTTAAGAGCTAATACCTTTGTAAGAATAAGAGAATAATTAAAAAAAAAATTTTAAACTAAATCCTGCCACCTATCAAAACAGGATCAAATTTTTAAGAACCTTGCCTAAAGATAATAAAATAGAATTTTGTAGTTTAGAACTTTATTAAACATTCAAAAATTTAACACATATCATTTAAGCAGCAGCAGCAGCAGCAGTCCTACTTAAACCTATAAGTCAAGGTTTGGTGTTATCTGGAACCAGCTTTGAGCCCTTTAATGTCGGAAACTGACCTCTTTGTACCCATCATGATGCTTCAATGTGCAATAGGTACTCAATGTTGGTTTAACTAGCTAATGGATGGTATTTTAAGCACAAAGCATACACACTGATGAAGAAATCATGTCAAACCTATATTTTTCCACTATAAATTTACTGCCAACAGAAGACATTAAATATATCATCCAAATGAGTAGTTCAAGAGTAAATACATCTCCCTGCTTTCAGATAGCACATAAAGGAAGAGGAGGATACTTTTAAATCAGTGAAACACCTTCCAGTTCTCTGAAAGGATTCTGAAACACTAAACTCAACATAAACAAACCCTACAGAATAATGTGTGGCATCTCCAGCTTAAGCTTTCGGTCTTGACTGGTTTATCTGTTTTCATTTCTGAATTATCTAGATAATGGGTATATTGCTTTGAAGGACTTAGAATGTGGATTTAGCCAACAGATCAATGTCACTGAAGAAGACGAGTAGAAGGAATTCCAATCAGCTCATTATATATTAGGATGAACAAAAAGTTAAAACACAAGGATTTCAAATGGAAATTATCTGTTTTTGTTACATCATGCATTTAAAATCATGATGAATTATGAGAATGGATAGGATGATGGCAAAGAAATGGAAAAGATCTTAAAAACTTAAGTTTATATTGTAGATATGGAAATGACAGAGTTAAAAGAAAAAGTGATAAAATGCAGTGAAACAGAAGATCTAAAAAAGATCTAAAAACTACTCTGAGGAACAAAAAAGATTCTATATGTGAAGAAAAGGAGAAATACGCACCTCCAAAAAGGTCTATCACACCTGATGAATCCACCTTTGCTGGAGAGGCAGTGGTTGCAGGAGATGGGGCTGCAAATGCATCCACTGCAGTGAAGCAGAGAACAGGAGAACTGCATGTCACCCAAAGGAAAATGAAACCCCAAGCTTTGACAAGTGGCTTCTTGCGATGCCAGGTTTAACTCCAGGCAGTAAGATTGCACACAATCTTAACCGGTAGGGAAAAGCACAAATGGATTTTAAAATGCACACTTTCTATATTAGAGGTTTTAATATGAAACACAAATTTTCTTGCAGCAGCTTTAGATTTGAAAAGTTAACCCTCATCAGTTGGTGATGGGCCAAAGAATGAGATTTTTCTTAAATGTGAAGTTTAAGTTTAAAAGAACTCAAGACAAACCCACATGCTTCTATGTCCACCTCTCTACCTGTAACCCCCACAGGACATCTCTGAGTGAAGGCTTGACTAAGGCAAAAGCACTCACCGGATAGGAGGTCAGCAGTGAGAGAACTCTCAGGGACAGGAGAGGCCCCTTGTGGTGGAGAGGAGAAAGCATCTTCCGAAAGTGAAACAAACCAAAACCAAGCAGAAGTAAGTAGAAAGCTGAAATCAAAGTCAAAAATCTAACAAATGCATTATCACAGATGAGTACACAGAGCTTAATCACATAAACATGTAAGAAAACTAACGTACAAAAAGGGTTGCTTTAGCTTTACCTGTACCAAACAGGTCTATGCTAGGAGCAGCATCTGGCTTAGGCGCTGCGGCGACTTCAGGAGCAGCCTCAAATAAATCTAAGACCAAGAACACACAGCCTTTACTCAACTTGACAAATGAGCCTGAAAGCAACATCACTTTCCAATTCTGAATTGGCACTTGAGAGAATTGTGAGAGAAGAAGCAAATGGTTTCTAGAGAACCATTAAAATACACAGTATTCATGCAATCATAGTTGTGTATGCAGTATATCTCAAGTACCAGAATTCAATCCACCAGATGGAAAGAGGTCAACAACAACAACAAAAAATTACCACCAAAGATATCTAGAGCAGGAGGAGCGGTGGTGGTGGTGGCTGAGGTGGTGGCAGTGGTTGCAGCGGCGGTGGTGGTGGCAGCGGTAGTGGCAGCAGTGGCAGCTGCAACGGCGGGAGCAGGAGAAGGAGCAGTGGCGGGAACCGGAGGGGCTGTGCTAGCTGTAGGGGTAACTACAGGAGCACTGGTCTCAGGTGGCTTCATTGCAAAGAGGTCCAGCTCGGGTGCAGCCTCTGCACTACCTTCAGACGGGGCAAAAGGGTCTTTTGGAAAGGAAAGTGGAGACACATACATCATCAGTAAGGAAAGGCACAGGAGACAGGAGTCATAACTATGGGTAAGAGACACCTGACACAGGTATTTACACACTAGCTAGGTATTAGGCTGCTTGTATTGAACTACTATCTTATTAGCAGGGGTCAGAGATTAGGATGCTTTTCTAAAGAAAAAGGAAAATTCAGTGGGGACCATTAAGTTAAGAAACAGATACTTCAAAGGTACTGTATGTCTAGGATCAGAGATTGTTATTCACCAAAACCTCAATCTGGTTCAGTTTGGTAGCTCTGAAATGCATTTAAACATGCCTATATATTGGAACTCGGTGTTACAAGAGAGTACAAATAGCATTAGAGGAAAAAAAAAAAACATTAAGAGGGCATACTTGCACTGACAAAAATTGTCAATCTTGAGAAATTGTCAATTTTGATAAGTATGCACTTCATTGTCTTAATGTTTTAAGTGCCATCATTATTTATTCAGTTAGGATGAATGGTACTTTATACTCAAAAGAAATTAAAATTAGAAAAAAAAAAAACAAACAGATGGCCACATCTAACTACAGGGGCTTTACAACAGGACAGTAAAACAACAGACTGGCTCATGACTTTAAACCCACCATTTCCTGAACATGCATCAAGTGCTGCTGCTACGGGGGTTGGGGTAGCTGGTGCGGCGGCCCCTTCGGATGCTGCAGGGGCCTCCCCAGGAGAAGCTGCAAAGGCATCTTGGGTGCAGTTTTTAAAACAACAGAAATTAAAGGAATAAAAAGAGAAGAAAATATAGTAAAAGAACCAAGTTAAATTGCGAAGAAGGCTCCCTTATACAACATGAATTTCTTAAATGCATTTTTATGGCTCATGCACTGTTTGCAGTCACAAAACAATGATTCTTCGTGCCCCTTCATGTTAGTTACATGTAAGTAGTACAACAGTGACACTGCTGCGGCTTATCAGGATTCAAGGGTAACAGGATTCTCATTGTATAAGGGCTCTGAGAAGCATGTTTTATGTATCATTAGAAATTAATGGATGTGAAAATTAAAACACAAAAATGACTTATAATGTAATTTAAGACATTAAACTTTCATGTCCTGGTAATACTCATTCACGATGTTACTATGATGTCTGTGCCTGGTGGTTTCTAGCAAACAAGGATAACTTCTTTAATGCTAATAAAATTAAATAATTATAATTAAATAATTATCGTTAAATTTTTACACAGGCAAGATTATACTGTTAAAATGAAAGGTCTGCTAAGAATTTATAGAATTTAAGTGTTCGTTATGTCTGAGAAGCATTTTCAGACATAACCAAGGATTTGTTTTAAAGCAATAAAGAGAGAAAAAAAATCAGAGGATGGCACCATAATGCCCTCACTTCAACTCATACTCTTGTTTTCAAATATTGTGTCACTCTAGTTATTGGGAAAATGATTTATTTTCAATAGTTTAAAAATAATCTCATTTGTATTACTTTTATTACACTACAATTTTATCACTGTCGTAAAAAATTCATGACATATAGATGGCCCCAGTATATAAGTGCACACTTATATATGACTGATATGTACTAGTAATTCCCAATATGTTTCTGCAACAAATGTTTTAATTATGACAGAAATTGGGACTTTTCTAAGAGGTTCTAAGAACTCTGAAGTTCAAAAGGCAAGAGGTCTTCCATAAATATGACTTGCTTGGTAGAAGCACCTCTTGGAAAGCGGGTACTAACACCCACTTAGAGATCTGCTAGACTTTTTATCCTTAAAAATAATGCCTATCCCAATATCTATTAGGATTCCCTAGAACATTGTTTCTCTGGCCGCTAAGAAGAATTTGTCAAATGTGCTTGGGAAATACTCTATCTCCTTTCTTGAAGATTTACAGAGCATATTAAGTTGTCAGACGTCCTATAGTCAAGACACTCATTTTTCAGCTTAACCAGGCATATTCCAACTGATTTGTACATTTAGCAATGTTCTGAAGCCCAGTGCTAAGTGGATAACAAACATTCAATTAGAGATTTCTCTTATGTTAAAAGGTCCTTACAAAAATACAAATATCTCTGGAAGGGACAGTGGGTCAATCAGTTATTGATATCTTATAGATTTATTTGATCTGCTTGCTTGCATTAGCTACACTGAGGGAATATGTAATTATAGTGTCATTTTACTATCTCCCCTTTGTAGATAAAAGAACATAAGCTGGAGAGTCTGAATGACTTCCAAGGTCACACAGATAGTGATTGGCAGAATCTGTTAAGTAAGTTGTCTCATTGATGTTTGTGTATTTAGCCACTAGTTTGTACTGCTATAAACTGTGCCCCATGTTACTGTACTACTCCTTCCTTGATGGCTGGAATAAACAAACACCAGTTATAGCAGTGCTAGAGGTCAAATACAGAGTCCAGATGAGCTGGACTCTTTTCTCACTTATGTGTAAGTAGGTGAAACCCACATGTAAAGCTGTGTCTTTAGGAGAGGTGTTTTTCCATTCCTATCATGAAGACATCTCATTTTCAGTGCTCCTTCTGTTATTTAAAAGAAAACACTATAAACTTATCTACTCCTCTCAAAACTTCTGTTAGAGACAAGAGCCTCAGTTTCCCACTGTTAAGTCTTCCTAGCTCAACAGACAGAGATGTGAATCAGTGAGATCATGGGTGAGTCCAGCCCCAGCCACTGTCTGACTGTACCCACCAAATGGACCCTGAGCAAGAACTCAAACTTAATCCAGGTGGGCCCCCAGAACTGTGAGAGATAATAAAATTTTGGTGTAGTTAAAAACAAAACATTCAGACCCAGCTTTTTTCATTATTAATGGTAGCATTATTCTTCAGTATTAAAAATGTCAGTTATTTCCAGCTGCTTCTCTTTCCCTTGTTACCCATTTGCAGTTCATTTCTACATACTGCCAATTTTCAATCATTGGCATTTCCTGGAAATCTATGTTCCTGTTGTTCTAGAATTGTGGACTGAGTCCAGGCTTTAACAGGAAAAATGCTGCTAACAGTGCTGCAGGCTTTTGTTCCTTCTAGCATTCTAGGAAGAACTGTCTCTCAAACGTTTAATCATGTGACTACCTTTTAAAAATATTCTAATAGCTGTCATCTTTCCCATCCTGAACAATTGTCCCCGTTTTTTTCTAATCTTATAAGCTACCTTTAAATCACATACTTTGCACAAAGGTTTCAATCACTCTCAACAGCCCAAGTCACCATTCCCGTTCCTCTGGTTTCCTCATGTCCCAAGTGATGAGTCTTAACATGAATCTAGTTGGACATGTGTATATTTAAGTTCTTGGTTTAAGGAAGGTTGGTTAACTTAGCTTGTTAAGCAGCTTGGACTAATAAAGTCAGGCTTGTGAGGCAAGTGTGCTGGCTTTCCTGTCACTTGGTTTCATGCTCACAGATACCATCTTGATAAAGGTTTACTCACAGGTTGACAAGGCTGACTCAAGGGTGCCCTGGTCTGTATGGAGGAATTAGCATCTGCTTGGCTCTAGTGCTTAGGAAAACCCTGTGTTGTTACAGACTAATGTGCTATTATTAGTAAAGTTTGCATAAGTGAAAAACAAAATGTTTTAAAGGATTCGATCTTTTCATCAATATCTGTAAGTTTAACTAAGTTTTTAAGCACAATACTGACTTACAGTCTTGTTCTGCAGGACCACAGAAAGCAGACTTTATTTTTTTAAAAGTTTACTTTAAAAAATAAAGCATTTAATAAACATAATGCTTCTGACAAAGCTATCTTAATGATTTACATTGAAATGATTAAAATGTTATGTGGGTATCAACCTGAATACTTAAAAATAACCACTTTCTATTTTCAAATTTTTAATAAAATACATAATTAAAACACACAAAAATTAATGTTTTAACATTTCATAACAGTGAAATTAAACAAGTAGCTAACTTTTATAAATTAAAACTCACTATGTTTATTTCTAAAGGAATCTACTGAGGAATGCTGTGCTACCTATATAAAACATGCTGTAAATGCCTTAGGAGGATGTTTTAAAATAAAGTTATAGCAACAGAATAAAGAACTCTATTTTTCAAGAGTTCTTCCACTTGCCCATTTTAGACATACCAAAAAAAAAAAAAGACATACAACACAACCAAAGATATTTCAGTTTAAGTTTTTACTTAAAATCCTGTCTCTAAATGATTCCATCTCCAGTGAAGTGACCAAAAAGGATATTGCTGAAATCACAAGGATAGTCCCATTTTTTGGCACTAACATATGCTTTTCTATAGTACACTGTCTTTTAAATTTGCATTGAAGGGTAGAAAGAATGCTATCATGAAAATATTTCTAAACACACATATTTCTCTGCTTGACGAATGTAGTCAAAGCAATAATAACTGATCAACACACACAGCATAAGAGCACAAAGAATATTTCAAAGAAATATCTTAGGCTTAACTATTCTAGAGAGCCATGAGGGAAGCAAGATGGAGCTGATTTCTTTGAGGCAATTTAGCTCTTCCCAATTGGACTGAAAAACAAAAATCTAAAGGTATACAAATGTTTAAGCACAAAATTATTATCCATCCTATCCACATTCTCCTTGAGTTTGTTTGTTTGTTTGTTTACAAAGGCCTATGACACTATTGGTGCTTTGGTAGTGGGAGAGCTACGATGAGCAGGGGTAAGGGGAGAAATTGTATTATGTCAAAATCTTAATAAAGATGTAAAACAGTGGTACTTCATTAAGAAAACAAATGCATATAAGAAACTCCCCATACCCAATATTAAAAATGGGGGGAAAAGAATGGGGTCAATAAGTTTATTTTATACATTTAAGCTAAAACTTTAACTTGTGGTCTCAAAAGTTAAAGAAGCTTAACTGAAAAATTAATTTCCTCTAGTGGATGACCCTTTATAATAAGTAATTCAAGAGTCTGAAAACTCCCTCTTCCTACTTTTTTAAAAATAGGTGCCCAGTAATAGCAACAGCAATGCATCAGAGCAGCAGCAAATACCCTGTGCAAAACAGTGGCAACTGTGCTGTGTCCAGTGCCTAGCTCATTGCCTTAGACAATGCTGGCAACACTCAGAGTCTGGGCAGGCATGCAGCACAGAGCACAGAGGTATGTGACAGAGTAAGTATATGGCCCAGGGGGATATATTAGCTCCATCAGAGCCTGCCAAATCTCTCTGCCCTCCCTCCCCATCATTTGCTTCCTCCCATTTCATTACCATATTCTCCACATGCCCTGGGAAAGATGTCATATTATAAAAAAGAAATACAAAACTATGATGAATATAACAGCATTGTATGGATTTGATGCGAGCACTTCTCCAGGTTTGGACATTAGCAGCACTCAGATGGGAATACATAAATAAACTGACTTCAGATGGTTCCTCAGGTTCAAACGTGTTACTGGCAGAGCCTAGCATATCTGACTCAAGCCCACAGCTATAAATCAACTCTGCGTCTGAATTTACATGGAAAGCATATTTTTAGACAATCATTTCAAAATCTGACCTAAACCTGTTTTCAATCAGCATTTCAAGTGTTGATTCAAATCATCTCTCAAAATTCCAAGGCCAAAGATGATCGAAGTTGTTGCTTGGACAGACACACTTAAGGTGGCAAAAATGGGGCATAATCCTAAGCTCTCTTCAGAGAGCTCCAAATCTGAAGTACTCTTAACGTGCTTCCCCCCCCCAAATGTTAAAAAGTAACTTAAGCCAGGATTTTCCCTCTCTTGTTCCTCAGTTATACTTTCAGCTCATTTGAACCCGGTCAAAAAAACCAAACCTAAATATGATAAGGAGGCCTTGGTACCACCCTGCCATAGGTACTGCAGGGCTGGACATATATGGGACAAGAGTTCTAGTAGCAACTCTTAAAAAAGGGAAAAGCAAATGGGCCCAAAGCATGGCATTGTCTGCCCTAAAGCACTAAAATTAACTGAAGATAAAGATATGATACATTTAGCAAAGCTAAATATATACGTGAATAAACATTTGAAAAGTACTTAAACACTGACATGCTATAATATAATGGGAGAATTTTTTGACATTTTAACTTTCAGTAATTTCAGCAATTCTGGGGGAACAATGAGAGAATAGTGATGCGGCTAACTAACCTCCAAAGAGATCCACTTCAGCTGTGACAGCAGTGACAGTGGTAGTAGTTGAGGCAGAAGCTGAAGCAGTTGCAATTTCAGCCGTTGTAGTAGGAGGGGTAAGTTCTGGTGCAAACGGATCTGAAATCTGTGCTTCAGTGGGAACAGAGGAAAGTGCAGCCAAAGAATCTACATTGCACCAGAGATGGAAAGTAAATGGAAGAGAAGAGAGGAACAAAAGATATACCAGGCTCCAATAATCAAAAAAGACAGTCATTAAGAGAAGGAAGTCTCTCAAAACAGAAGTTTAAAAATAAAGTTTTACTCACCCTCTCCCAAAAGGTCTACTGATGTCCATTATTTGCCAGCATATGAAGAAATAAGAGATTAAGCTGAAACACTCAATCATACCAATGTCCAAGGAAGATGAGGCACTAGCTGAAGAAATTTTAGTTTTATGTACCTTTCAAACCATTTGTATTTTAAAAATGAATGTATTACCTATTATTATTATAGAAGTTTTGAGCTGGAAGGTTACTTAGGGGTGCTCTATAGCAAGTTTTTGATTTTATAGCTGGGAAAACTGAGAGCAAAGGAAGTCTGGACATTTTAAGAAAGGTCTAAATGACTTGACAAACTCATTTTATTTCTCTCAAATTTACCATTTCATCTACTTTGATTGATTTCACTACATCTTAATGTCAATTCTGAAGAAACTATAGTTAAGTGAACTTTATTAATACTATTTACTTGATGTGTCAACTTCAGTCCAGAATACCAGACATTTTATGACAGCTGTGTTTTGATTATTGAACATACCAAATATAATCAAAGAATTGAATCCAGGTTTATGGGTTAGATAAAAGAAGCCCTAACCTAAACCATTTTGTTTTTTTATAAGTTTCATATGATCAGATCTTTTCAATATGATATATAATCTTGATATTTATAAATAATATGTGACAACATAATGAGAGTTAATTTATGTTGCATAAAACTTTTTTTTAAAGATTTATTTATTTATTTATGCATACAAGAACTGGGGCACAGGCCAGAGATACAGGGCGTGAGAGGATTCACCAGAGACAGAGTGGGGAACAGAACAGGTAGACTGACTGAAGTACACTGCTGTGGGGAGCAGCGGGCAAGACAGGAGAGGTCTGCCTCACCATGTGGGTTTCTCCCTGGCCAGCCAGGGATGGAACATGTGCTGCAGAGGCTGCTGATTGCTTCATAGTGCGGTGCTTAACCCCTTGCGCCAATCAGGGAGGCCCTGCATAAAACCTTTCAACCCTTCTGAGATGTTGATAATTTCTTAGTGTTCAACAGTGGGATTATCAGGGCATGATAAATTAAAAACCTAGCAGGGGCTATTTCCCCCCCTTTTAATTATATTTTTTATATCATTGTAGTCCCCAATAGTTCTCCCACCACCATATTACCTGTGAACCATCACTAAATTCTCTTCTATTCTTTTTCCCATTTAGACCCTCTCCCACCCATGTCTTGCAGCATGCCTCAGATCTATGGTCAGTTTGTTAGTTTTAACTTTTTCTTGACTTTTTGTTTGGTTACTCTATATTGCACATATAAGTGAGACCATCTCATATTTATCTTTTTCCTTCTGACTTATTTCAAGGAGGGGCTATTCTTAACTATAATATGATTTTAGGTTAAGCTTTCTGAGGTTCCAATAGGATTCATCTAGTCTCAGCAATATGATATGCCTCAGGGCTCATATTTGAATTCTTGAATATTATTAGAAATCTATTTTAATCACGGAGAAATTTTATCAGAAAACTCAAGAGGGAGTTTTTTTTTTTTTTCTACTTTAGGATTTTGAAAATAACAAGAGAACTTAGTAAACTAAAAGTTCTAAAAGACATTTAAAAAACTGAGAAACAAATTTGACATAAAACATAACTGTACTTATTTACCTATATAATCTGCAAGACCAAAAACCTTATAAAGCATTTTACAGATAGACTATACGGCTCTTCTTAACCAAATCTTACCTCTTTAATAACAACACTAAGGAATTACACAACATGAGTACTATACATTAGAAATGGTCCTTAAATTTTAGAATGTGTGTCTAATAAATAGTAGAGGGGAAAGGTTCTGCATTAACTTGGAATTAGGTTATTGTCTGCTGTTAGGTGGTCAACCCCAATATCCTGAGAAACGGAAGTAATTCTTCAAACCGAAAGCACCTGACCCAATACAACGGTTACTCCATAAAAACACATTACAAAAATATTAAGTGGAAACCAAGCTGGGTCAACAGAATCCAGATAGTTTAGTGTGTGTCTTTTCTTTTCTTTTTTTAATTAAAGATTTATTTTTATTCATGTATACAAAAACCTAGGTACAGGCCAGATGTGCAGGAGGGTGAGAGGATTCACCAGAGACAGAGCGGGGAAGAGAACAGGCAGACTGATGAAATACACTGCCGAGGGGCACAGCGGGTAGGACAGGAGAGGTCTGCTGTGCCATGTGGGTATCTCTGTGGCTGTCCGGGATCGAACCCATGCTGCGAAGGCTGCTGACAGCTTCACAGCACTACGCTCAACCACCTGCGCCACCAGGGAGGCCCAGTCTGTCTTTTCTTGGCATGGGTGGGAAACTCCCCAGCTCTGCCTCATTAAAGCCTATTTCAATCTGCAGTGTGACTCAGTAGAGGAGCTAAACATTCTGTCATTTAATAGTTTCCAGGCCTGCTGTTGGTTATGGCAGGCAATAGACATTTATTTTAGACATTTGATAAATGAGAAAGGAGAAGACTACGTGCACTATAAGGATGAAGAATGAAAAAGACTTTTAAAAAGTATAAAAGATGAAAGTATTAGCTCCTTGCTTTTGATTAGTGTTTTGTTCAGATGGAGGGTGATGAGACTTTCCGTACTGATGTGATGAAAGAAGAAAAGTAAAATTTCCTAGGAAAACATACAATGATTAAGCATATTGGTGGATAACTGATACTGGAACCACTATTCTTGGAACCACAGGTTTTAGTTTGCAAAGTCCCAATTTTCCAGAAGAAATAAAATTTGTGTTGCTTAGTCTCTGTTTTATGCAAAAATTTCTCTACTATAATAGAAGTCCCTATTTTAGGATGATGAGATGAGCTATTAAATAGCCTAAAAACTGCCACTTAAAAGGATTAAATTATATTAAAAATGATGCAGTGACAGAGTTAAATGCATTTGGAAGTAGTATTTAATTATAGATTTATTTGAATTTTACAATTAAATTAAAAACAAGAACAAGTACAAATAACATGCAGTGGGAAGTAGCTAAACTTTTTAGGTTATTATGAAGATAAAATATATTAATATATTTAAGTGCTTACCTGTACCTGGAACATATCAAATATTTCATAATGAAAGTAATAACAATAGCTAGCACTTAAGTTATAATTTTCATTATGAGAGTAAATTTCTGCATATCTATGTGTATGCATGAAAGTGTACAAAAACATGTGCTTATAGATATCCCCTCAGATCTGATAAACAATTAAATGGTAATATGGGTCACAAAAACTGTTTATAGTGTAGTTAATATTCTACATGGAAACTTATTAGGGAGTTCCATTATGGTCACATAATATTTACTCTTCAAATACATGTTAGGAATTAATTTCTATGAGGTTTATTAACTCTAATAAAACCATAACAGTAATGCTATAATTCTCAGAAAGTAAAAATTTTATTTCATATATTCATAAAGAGAAATTATCTCTTTTCCCACTTCTAAGATACACAGAAATACAACACACATAATTTCTTTGTGCTGAGAAATGAATATATGATGAAGAAAAAAAATCCTTCTTTTCCTATTATGGAACCAAATATATAGATTTAAAAAATACTCTGTCTTCTTTCAGTCAAACATGCTCATAATCAACCCACAGAATGACAAATATTATAAACATTTAAATTAAATAACTAAAATATGAATGTCAAAATTTGCTTGTTTTACACTACCAACAAAAAAACCTATCATTTACAATATGTTTCTAAAATGGTATTATTTATCAGTGTCTATAACCCTCGAAAGAAATTCATAAACACCCAAAGTGACTATAGCTGTTGGAAAATGAAAACCGCTTACTATCATTATAGTCAGATAAGGACATACCAAAAATTCCGAAGAGTTTTAGAATTGTATTTTAAAATCTAGCTATTCAAAATCCAAAAATGCTTCAATAATAGAAGTGGCCTGATCTTACCAAAGAAGATTGAGAGAGTGATTTTTTTTTTTTGCTTAGTCAAATAAATCAACACGTATTTTGTACAATGAGGGATCAACTTCGACCACTGCTGGATATCTACAGGACTAATGCAAACTGAAGGTAATTATTATTTCTCAATTTCATATTATAGTAGTTTTCTTGAATTTCTTAAGGCTTATGATTTTTTTCTATTTTGCTGAGGAATTAGAGGATGTATTTATTTGTACTTTTCTTAAGCTGACTTTCTTAGATTCCACATATAGGTAAGATCATACAGTATTTGTCTTACTGAATCTGACTTATTTCATTTAGCATATTATCCTCAGGTTCATCAATGTTGCCACAAATGGGAACATTTGTTTCTTTTTTAAGGACTGAGTAATAGTCATATATATACAGATACATTTATATATACATGTTTTTCTTTTTTGTAAAGTTATGTTTATTGAGGTAATTTTATTTACATCACAGCACGTGTCTTAGGGGTATAGGTTTTAAACCCCTACAAATACACGTTATTTCACCACACCTACCACCAAAGCCCCAATAATCCTCCATTAGATCCCCCATCCTCTTTTCTCCTACCCCACCACATACCCCTTTTGTTTTTTCATTTATTTCCTTATCTTCTACATAAGAATGAATCATTGAGTATTTGTCTGTCTCCATCTGATTTATTTCACTTAGTATAATAACCTTAAAGCTCATCTATGTGGTCATAAATGGCAACATTTTGTCTTTTTTTAAAAAAAGATTTATTTATTTATGCATACAAAAAAGTGAGGTACAGGCTAGATGTGTGGGGAGGTGAGAGGATTCACAAGAGATAGAGTAGGGACACAGAACAGGTGGATTGACTGAAATACACTGCTGAGGAGAGCAGTGGGGGAGGCAGGAGAGGTCTGCTGCGCCATGTGGGTAGCTCCCTGCTGGGGATTGAACTCATGCTGCAATGGCTGCCAATAGTTTCATAGGTTGTGTCTTAACCACTTGCGCCACCAGGGTCTTTTTAACAGCTGAGTAATATTCCCATATCTATTTACATTCATGTTTCCCTTAACAATGTTTTGGTCAATGACAGCTATGTATGATGGTACATCCAAGGCTATAACATATTGTCTGGTGTGAAGTAAGCTATACCTTCCAGTTTGTGTAATTACATTCTATGACATTCACACAGTGATGAAATTACCTGATGACACATTTCTTAGAATATATCCCTATCATTATGCTACGCATGACATATACCACATGATATATACTGTATCTTTATCCATTGTTGATGGGTTGTTTCTAAATCTTAGCTATTGAAAATAAATACTGAGATGAATATAGGGAATACTTCTTTACAAATTAGTGTTTTTTTATACCTTGGATTAATACCAAGAAGTAGAATTGAGAAGTAACAAGGTATTTCTAGTCTTAATTTTTGAGGAATCTCCAGACTGTTTTTGACAGTGGCTGTATTGGTTTACATTTCCATGAATAGTGTACAAGAGTTCCCTTTTCTTTAAATGCTTGCCAACATTTGGTTCTTTTTTCTTTTTTTCTTTTTTTTGCATAGAACTGGTGTGTAGGCCAGAGGTGTGGGAAGTGAGAGGATTTATACCTGAGACAGAATGGGGAGAACAAGCGGATTTCCTGAAATACATTGATAAGGGGAGCAGCAGAAGTGACAGCAGAGGTCTGCTGCACCATATATGGGTTATCTCCCTGGCTGGGGATTGAACTCAGGCCATAGAGATCATAGCCCTTGCACTTAACTCCTAGGCCACCAGGAAGGCCCCAACAGTTGATTCTTGCCTTTTCCCCATAATAGCCATTTTCACAATTGTTAAATGATATCTCATTGTGGTTTTGATTTGCATCTCTCCAATAATAAATGATATGAACATATTTTCATGTGCCTGATAGCCATCAGTATATTGTCTTTGGAGAAATGTATGTTCAGAGCTTCTGACCATTATTTAATAGTTTTTCCATTGTTGAGGTCTATGATTTATTTATATATTTTGAATATTAACCCATTGTTGGATACATAATTTGAGAACATTTTCTCCCAGTGTGTAGGTTGTCATTTTGACAATGGTTCCTTTTGCTGTGCATAAGCCTTTCAGTTTGATGTAACTCCATTTGTTTATTTTTGGTTTTTGCTCCTCTTGCTGTGTTCACAAAGATATCACTAAACCCAGTGCTGAAGGGTTTACTGCCTATATTTTCTCCTATGTATTTTGTGTTGTCCTGCTTAATTCACAACTTTAATTGATTTTGATTTTTTTGGTATACGGTGTAACATAATGGTTTACTTTATCAATAATTCTTTTGCATTTGCCTAATGAATTTTCCCAGAAGCATTTATTGAAAAGACTGGTCCTTCTCCATCTTGTGCTCTTCATGCCTTCATCATAAATTCATTGTCCATATTTGAGTGGGCTTATTTATGGGCTTGTGGGTTCTTTTCCATTGATCTGTTTTTCATTCCAAAATCATGCTGCTTTGATTATTATAAGCTTTGCTGTATAGTTTGAAGTCTGACAGTTGTGATGCAATTTTAAAAAAATATTGTTTGTGTTAGTTCACTGCTTGCATATAAAATTTCAACAGGTGTCTGTATATTGATTTTGCAACCTAGATTGATGGGACTGCCTTTAAGACTTTGGTCTGCAGGGATGGACCAGTGCCCACTTCAGAGTCTGCAGCTAGATCCACAGATGGTGGGCTTGTTAGCAGCTGCATGGGTGAGTATATAGCAACCATTGGGCTCCTGTGTGGATAGGATTAGGCCCTGGTTAGAGTTGAGTGGATCTGGGGACAGTAATGTTTCCAATTCCCTAGCAAGAAACAATGTTGGCAAGTCTCCCACCTGAGAAAGGTCTGATTTCTCAAACCAGTTCTTTCATTTTAGGTTCCCTTGGGATTTTGTGTCATCTTATCTATATCCTAAAGACCCCATAAAGGCACTTTTGTCTATGAATGACTGTTAAAGTTACTACTATCAGGGAAAGATCTGACACCTCTATTCTGTCATCTTATGTTACTCCCTCTGTGTTATTTTTATAGTTGTATGAGTTTTTTAAACATCTTTTTATTTTGCTAGTTTGATGCATTAAGATATTTAAAAGTGACTATACATTTTGAAAATCATGCAGTATTAATTTTATATTTGTGTTAAATATGCTTTTTATAAAACCTTATGGTTCTCCTAGATAAATGAATGAAGCAGGAATCAAGACCTTAGGTGCAATTCCTCTCAGTCAGTTTACTATGGATCTTTTCTGATACAAGTAATACCTCTGAATCACATACAGTGCTGTAAAACAATACCTCAATAAAGTAAATTTTTTCTGAAAATGAAAAAATTGATTTTATTTAAAATTTAAAAAAAATACCCCAGATTTCAACAGTCTGATGTCAGATACAGTATGAATAAAACCATTTCAAGCCCAAAGAAATATTTGGCAGAGGCTGTACCTGAAAAAAATGTCTGAAATGCCACCCTTGAGTAATCTCATAAATTCACAGGAACACCCAATTCTTTAAGATCAGAAACTCTAGTGAACTGTGACTAAAAATAAGATTTTCCCAGTAGCAAAGAAAAATATTGCCCTTGTCCCACCTTTTAATACAAAAAGTATATGAGTACTTGTACTTGAAATGTATATTACAGATACAGTTTCTATTCAATACATATTTCAATCAATAGATGCCATTCTTAGCATATTGAAGCTTCTAGCACCATTTTGCATGAATCAGAAGGTAAGTATAATAATTTTAATCTGAATTTAAAAAAAAGAAAACTAAACAGACAAATTGCACAGCTGTCTGATTTCACTCACCTCCCCATGCAGTGGCTCCTCCAGAAGGTGGTGCTGGTGCTGGTGCTGCAGCTGCTGCAGCCCCTCCAGAAAAGTCTGGCTGGAGGTCCAGGAGATCACTAGATGGTTTGGAAGTGCTGAAAGGAAAATATAATTCTTAAATCATATCTTAAAACTATATTTGATGATGTTTTAAAATAAAAAATTATGTAGAAAAAACCCAAAGATTCAGGATCTTTTAAATCCAGTAAGAGAACAATATTTTGGGAGGTAAAGTAGTATACATATGATCTGCCATATCAAGGGCTGGCAACCTACTTTAGTAAAGGGCCAGGTGGTAAGTATTTTAGGGTTTTGGACTTGATGGTCTCTTATCGCTACTTGAGTCAGCCATGATAGCATGAAATAAGACATGAACATATGTTAACATGTGAATGTGTTCTTGTTTCAATAAAACTTTATTTACAAAAACAGACAATGGGCTAGACAACTCAGGAGCCATAGTTTGCCAATTTTTACTCAATATATGATAAATAAAAGTGAAGCTGTACTTCAAGCTATGGGTCACTCAACAAATTATATCACAGAAATTAAAAGGGAAAACCTAAATGCCTCAAAATAAAGAGGAATTTCCCTAAACATGTTATGTTCACTGGTAGCACTGGAAATTCTGGTTATGAAGACTGTGCCAGAAGGAAACTACTCCAAATATTAAAAGTATGAGGGCAATAGGATTATGGGTAAATTTTTTCTTTTCTCTATTTTCTAAAATGTTTTGTAAGGAAAAAAATGAATGCATTGAAAAGTATTTATCTGTAAACCAAGGAATACTAAAATGAATAATTACTAATTTACCTGTTTCCTAAAGTAAGCTACTATATATGAAGTTTACCTATAAGAGGCTTTGCCTAAAAATAGTTTAGTTTTGTTTTTTTATCCTAATTCAGTTGGGGCTGTGCTTTTCAAAGCTCCTCAACTTGTTGAAATTCTAAGAAGGAGCCTAGAGCTTTGCTCTTCAAAGTGTGGTCCACAACAAGTAGCATTCTTGGCCCTTTGCTAGATGCAAAATCTCATGATTACCCCACATCTACTACTTCAGAATTCATTTTAACAAGATCCTATGTGTTTCACATACAAGTTCTTGTTTAAGAAGCACTGGCCTAAAGGTTAGCAGACCAGGTACTAACCTATCAGGGTCCAGGGTCCCTCACTCTTCCTTGTAAACAGCAGTTCCATCTTTATCTTTCTTACAGAAGATATTTTCAAGTACGTTTTTTGAAGAAAACAGTCTGCTGCTTTCTTTAAGTTTCAAAACTCCTAAAAGCATTGCCTAGTTTAGATGTCTTCTTCACAAATACAATCGGTCTGTATGCCAGCATAGAAAACATTATCATTAAAATCTGAATCAAAGCTTTTATAAGAGCAATTTATCTTAGTATAGACGCAGAAAGGATTTGTTTTTACCAAGCTACAGAACTCAGCAAATAAACGGCAATGCACACAGTTAACATGGGCATAATAATCAGATTTCTTGTTCAGTTTAATACTGAAGTCTCCAAATACAGGGCATTCATTATCAGAGTCACAGATAGCACAAAATCAGACGAGAATATTCTCAAGGTAAAAGAACCAAACGTAGCATTGACCAAGAACTATTATTTTGACTTGGGCTTCATTTTAGGCAGCTCTGAGGTTTCACAGAATGCACAGCCACCCCCATCTAAAGGTGCCACAAGTGATACTAGGAATACATTAAGGGTCTCTTCCACCATCAAGATTTGAGTTCCTCATATGCACCTGGTAACAAGCTTCAATTGCAAGCTTTTTAATTTTTTTAAAATATTATAAGACATACTTTAAATTTCTGACAAGAAACTACTTTTAGAAATAATTTTCCATTATCAGCTAATTTCAGAAACCCCTGAGGTGTGCATTGCTCTTCCAAATGTGTGAGCACAAGGTGATTTCTGTAGCTTACATCTTTCTCATGTTTTGAGAGGTACAGGCCTAAATTACTGTTTAAGTTGTAAAAGAACTTACGTTGTGTACCTAAAAGTATTCAAAATTTCATGCTATTGGCACTAGATTTCATTTTGTGAAATCATTTGGGTTCAGTACATAAAAATTAATGGAAAACCTCATCAAAATATTAAAAAACCAGTTCACTGTATACTCATTAACTAACCTGATGGGCACAGCCGCAGATGCAGTTGCAAATAAATCAACCGGTGGGGATGTGTCAATAGTTTTAGCTGGTGTAGAATTAGGAGACGTAACAGTTGTGGCTGGAGAAGACTGAAAGTGAAGATGCACAACACACTCTAGTCAAATACGAATCTACAGGACACAGAGCAAGAGGACTTTCATTTTGCAGACCCATGACATTCCCATCAAATATTTTGGTAACTCCTCATGAAGACAAACTTGAAATCTAGAAGCGTAATAAATAATCAATATTGGGCAAAGCATCTTCCAAATTTTGAGAGTTAAATGTAACTTGTATAAAGTTATAATGAAAACACATGGTCTTACATTGCAGTGACTTCTATTTGTGTATTTTAAATCAAAGCTAACTATATTTTATGAACACAAAACTATTAGGAAAGATCGCATTAGCATTTAAAAATTATTAAAGTTATCAGTTGTAATAAATGTTATAGAACACCAAGATCACCCAAAACATACTAAATATTAAGTTTTCTCAGATGCCTTGAAAATCCAGAAATCTAGTCTACAAAATAGTTCACACATGGCAGAGAACAATTAACAAACAAGATTCAAGTCACTGACAGCTTGAAGATATAATGACTATATTCCATCACTAAAGTGTCATAATCGATAAAACTAAAAAAGTAAAGTAAAATCTAACATTTGTTGTTCTGGACTGGTTTTTTTATTTTTTTATTTTTCTTTATCAGGGGAGAGCATGGACTGTTTTATTTTTAATAAGGGGACTTAATGCTGTATCAATATGGTAAAAATTAAATTTTTTGTTTAGTAATTACCCTAATTTTATTTTCTATTAAATTGGTATCTTTAATTCCCCACGTTACCATAAAAGAAAGATTGATAGAACATCTCCAAACAGTCTACCAACACTTAGTTCTGTACATGGAAATGAGATAACAGCCAGTAAAATACATGCAAGCCGAGGCCAAGCACAGGTTATCAGATATTGCTGTAACTGGACATCTGATTTTAAATACCAACTTGAAATTTTAAAAAGAATAATTTAAGAAGAAGGACAAAGGAGAGAAGAAATTTATGGGGCTTTCCAGACTTAAACAGAATTTGTGTAGTACCTACTTGTCCAAGAAGACTCATATATTATTATAACCAATAAGAATCAAATCAATAGATACACAAGGGCCAAATAGTCAGCATTTTAAGAAAAACAATCACACGAACAGCATAGATATTGTTGCTAAGAAAATGTCAACCCACCAAACTGTTCACCAAAAACTTAAATTTACTAAATCATCTGGGGACTAGAAAAGAGTAATTAATCTACATTTACTGTGGACACTGACAACTCCTCTAAATGAATATACTTGTAAAAAACCTTAGAGAGTGATTTATGAAACAACACAGAAAACTCAACAACAGAAAAAAAAATCTACCAACATAAAAACAGATATAAAGGTCTTTAAAGGCTCATTTAAAAACTTCCTTGTGGGCCTTCCTAGTGGTGCAAGGGGGTAAGACACATCCTATGAAGCTAGCCTCAGCCACTGCAGCATGAGTTCAATCCCCGGCCAGGGAGAAACCCACATGGCGCGGCAGACCTCTCCTGCCTTGCCTTGTGCTCCCCTCAGCAGTGTATTTCAGTCAATCTGCTTGTTCTGTTGCCCACTCTGTCTCTGGTGAATCCTCTCACCCCCAAACCTCTGGCCTGTATCCCAGTTCTTGTATGCATAAATAAATATGTAAAAAAATAAAATCCAAACAAACAAAAACCCAAAAAACTGCCTTGTAACAACAAGCTCTGAAGAGATGAGAGCTAGGAAAACAGGACCAAAATGACCCTACTATTACAAAGTCAATAAAGTACAATTTTGCCAAAATGTAGGAATAGACCATCCCTAAGGACGCCAGTTTTATAACTCTACTAAACACTGGTATGTTAGAATTTTCACATAGACGTAAGATGTTTTCAAATGAACAAAATGAACAAATACATTTATTGAAGTAGGTTGAGAGTATATTTTTAAAAGATCAGTTAGAAGGCTTTATAAGTAGTTCCTGGGAACCTAAACTAAGTGAGTGAAATTGTGGCAAAATAAGACTTGGCTATATATTTAATGTGGATGGTGCAGAAAATAAAAATGTCTTGACATAATGATTTAAAACCCAGCCTTGCATCAGGATCACCAGAAACCTTGTTTGTTTGTCTGTTTTATTTGTTTGTCTAAGCTCTCTGAGGGAATTCTGGCACTGTACAAGGCGTCTGTGAAGTCCAGTGTAGTTAGGGTGATATCTTTGTATCTGTATTAATAGCAATTCCATAAAAGACATTTGGTAAAGAGGAAAGAGCATATTTATTACATTTTACCTGAAAAGTACAATGGTAAATTTGAACTACAGATATATAGAAAAATAATTATAGAAAACTGTCTAAAAGGCATCTTTGTGAAAAGACACCCACCTGCAATTGATTTCTCTACCATTAACAAAAGCATACAGTTATATTCTTTACCTGTCTTGCAGGATTGTCATTCCAAGTATGAGAAAGGGCTTTAATAACAAGTAAAATAATATTTGTTTTTAGTTGTAATATAAATGCATGAAAATTTCTCCTACTTTGAAAGAATTTAGTCAAAATGGAGGACTCAGTAAACACTGCTAAATATTGGACTGAAGAAATGAATACAAAGGAGAGTATGTATAAACTTTTCTCAAAAAATTAAAAATTACTTATGATTCAACAATTTGATTTCTGGGTATATACCCCAAAGAATTAAAAGTAGGGATCTGAATAGTCATCCATGTTCACAGCAGTATTATTTACAATAGCGACAAGGCAAAAGCAACCAAGTGTCCACCAATAGATAAGTGAGCAAAATCCATGGCATATACATACCGTGGATTAAAATGGAAGGAAATTCATTCAGTTTAAAAATGGAAGGAAGTTACGACATAGAGTACAGCATGGATGAACTTTAAGGCACTATCTTAAATAAAACAAGCCAATCAAAGGAAAGAACAGATATTGGATGATTCCACTTACATGAGGTACCTAGAATAGTCAAATTCATAGAGAGAAAGCAGGATGGTGGTTGCCAGAGACTACCAGGGCAACGAGGGGAAATAGAGAGCTAGTGTTCAAAGGGAATAGAATTTGAATATTGGGGAGATGAAAAAGGTCTGGAAATGGATGGTAGTCATGGCTGCACAAAAATATGAATGTATATTGAACTGTAATCCAAAAATTGTTAAAACAAAATAATAAACAAACTTACCTTACTTAATGGAGAGGGAGCACCAGATCTAAAAGGCAACCAACAAAATTAAAACTGAATAAACATGAACACACTTGTAGAAGTTTGATAATATCACTTGGTCAAGCATTAATGTGTTTATATACAGATTTTTATCAGTAGTTAATGACTGAAAAAAAAAACTTTAATCTTTTACACAATTATGACATCCTCCCCAATGATTTTCATTCACTTAATCTCTAGGACCAGAAAATCTTCAAGTCAAAATTATTTTCTACATATCAAGCAACCCAATTCTTCAAATTGGGCATTATTGCCTATGTCTGTCAAAAACAAACTGTCCAAATAGTAAATTAAAAAATTTTGCCAAGACTTGGGAAAAAAATGCCTTATATAATTAAAAAAAAAAAACTATCCACTGGTTTTGAAAAGTTAGAAGACTTATTAAGATTAAAGTACATTATGATTCACTTTAATTATAATTGTGATGCATAAAAGAAACACTAGAATAGAAAAAGAAACCCCTAGGATGCTTGTGTCTGAATGCCTCAACTTCCACATATACACTCCTAAGATTTGTTTGTTTTTTCATGGCTGTTATGAAAACTATCTATGGAAAATATTCCCATTATGTGAGAACTAGTGGGAACTTGAAGATAACAGTAGTCTGAATGCTTGTTTCTGAAGCAGTAAAGGAAAATTAGTAATGAGTAAAAATATTTTGTTAGATTTTTGGTAGCACTCACTATTGTGTATTATTTCTAGAAAAGTGCTTCAGAAACAACTACCTAAACAGTTTACATTTTACTAATCTGAGTTAGTGGGAAGTAAGTTAATAATCAAACGAAATGAAGAGTAAATACTTTTCAATAAAAAGCTTATGTTAGAATCTTATAGACGGCAGGATGGTGGTGTACTCATTTACAGAGAAAACACCACATGTAGTAACAGCAAAAAGAAAAAAAATAACTGAAATTTAGTACGTGAAATTTTGCACAGTATCATGATTTTTTGTTATATTGACTACTACAAAAGAAATTTATTTCCAACTTCATTTGCAAAACATGCTTTGCTCTTTTCTCTTCAAATTAAAGTTTTTACTTAAATTGAACATAATGAAAAGATTGCACATACATTTTTGCTATATAATTAGAAGAAATAAGTGTAACTCAATTTGGTTTATGTGTAGTTGGACTGTTACATTAAGAGTAAGCTCTCCTATGAGGAAAAGGATATATGTTTATTCTGCTCATCAACGAGTCCACTGACATGAACAGATTCACAGAGCTCGCTGTATTATAGAAAGTTTTATAAGAACCTAAAAATTTAGCACAGTATAAGGCTGAAAATTTCCTAATGAGTTTTTAGCTAATAATTTCTCCAATCCTACCATTTTCCCCCTTTCTGTATGTGGGGAAAACCAGAGATTAAGTCTACATAGAAATCCGAGAGAACAGTCATCTTCGCAAAGAAAACACAGAAGTTATTTAACATGATTTAAGGTACTTTTTATGAATGAATTAATTGAAATTTCTTTATCATGCAACTTTCCTGAACATATTCTTAGTGGTACTGACAAAATAAAAAATATTAATACAGAAAAAGTGAGCATAAACAAGAACTGTTTTGAGATATTTCTAAAACATTTCTAACATTTTTGGCATAATCTATACTCCAAAGAAAAATGATGTAGCAAAAATGATAAAATTTTTCTACTTGCTATTTAAGAATATCATGCACAAATCCAAGTAAAATACCATAATTGGCACAAAAATCAATTTAGCAAGTTCCCACATGAATGGTTTTGCTAAATTACATTTGTAGTTACACCATGGAAAAGGAAAAAATTTTGTGGGGCTCCTATTTCACTTGCTGCACTGTATCTTCATTGTCTGTTTAACTAAACAGACATGTGTCTTTTTCACTAGATGCTAAATTCTTTGAAGGGGGAAAATCCATCTCGTTTTATTATATCCAACACTTTATACAGCATCTAGCATTTTGTAGGCACTGAAATACATTTCTGTATTATCTGACTTTAAATATAAGAATACATTCTTATACTCACATAAAAATATAAGTAAACAAAAGTCTTAACAATTATTTTGTTAGGAACTAAACTCTCAGGATGTGTGACCTCTGTTCCCTTGGCATCAGATCCAACCCTTGGCATGATTTCATCAAAAAGAGTGAGAGCAAGACGTGCTTCAGAAAGCATTATTAATTCAGCATCATCTCTGATTAAAATCTGAGAGCTCCAAGAGAGGTACTTTCTGAAGTCTCATCATTCTTTATCTATCATAGTTCATTTATTTAAAATCCTCATTATTCTAAAATCCACACTTTAGAGGGGGTTAAGACTCTGGTCCAAGTGTACTATGTCTGATAAAAGCAAAGGTGAGCAGAGCATATTTGGTCCTGTTTAACAACACATAAACTACTACTTGTTACCTGTTCCTCAGTTGATTATCTATCCTACCAATGATCACTTGTCCTTATAAAAGAGTATGTCACAATATATTGTATAGAGATAAGACATTTATTAAAGACCTACACCTATTTTAATAATTTCAACCAGAGAATTTTAGCACATAGTGAACTACATTGTGAAAAATAAGGCAATATAATTTTAGGAGAGTAAATGATCAATATAGTAATCTACTTAAATGCTAGAAATAAAGCCATGAGTTTTATGATGAACATAGCAAAAGCCAAGGGTTACTTCCAAGATGTTAATATAGTAAGTTGTCAAAGAGGAAATTTTGTTATTTCTTATTCACAACAATACAGTTTTGATTATAAATGCTAGCCAGGAAAAACAACCACCATCACCACCACATAAAATGTAAAAACCTATCTGTATCTTTCAAATAATTCTAGTTATAATAGATGTATCCTTGGTTTCCTGCACCAACACCACTTAGTAAACTGACATGTGAGATAAAATCAATTTTCTCTTTTGTTCTGTTGAGTCACAGAGACAATATGCAAAGTCATATCATACTGTATTGCACAAATTTTAAAAATGCGTATCAGTGGGAATAAAGCACTAAATATAAAGGGTCTATGTATTTTTTACAGTAGACATTTGAAAATGCTTCATTTCATGCATTTATTTGACTTAGCACTAGAATAGTTTTATATTGCTACTGGAAGACAAAGAATTTTATGTAATAAAATTTCTTTCTGAAGTGTGAAAATCTTTTGATTAATAAACAAATATTTGATTTATAAAACCTAAGAGAATTCTATATACACTTAAGAGAGATTGTTAAACTTGATCCTAGAAGACCAAAATAAGATAAAATCATTTATGTCAGTCACCTTGCAACAAAAAAAGTATCATTAAAACACAGATGGATAAAACTGACAGAAATCAGTTTAAGTGGATTTTTAAGAGTGTTTTTTTTGCATTTTTAGCAATATCCAAATGCAAAAAAGTCACTCAATATAGTACTCACCCTTCACTTAAGTTCCCAGGTAAGCACAAACATACAAAGAAGAAAATAGTTAAGTACTGCAGTCCATTTTTTGGGGAAAAAAAAATATAGGGAATAAGCAAAAGATAAGTTCAAATGTGGTCTTAGCCAATTCAGAAAAGAAAACTGATGAGCAAAAAATGATTTTAAATGAAGGAGAAAGATGATGCTCAGCAAAGGGTAATTCAAAACAGAAGATCATTAAGTTTTTATTTCATTACTCAGAAATCTGTGTCCATAGTTAAGTTTTCCAAAAATAGTTGGCAGCAGCCACAAGGGGGCGAATTTAGATTTGAAGTTAGACCTAATGAAATCTGCTCTAGCAGGCTGCCTCTCCTATGTCTGATGGATTTAACAAAGGGAAGGTATGGATATGTGCAAGTTTATGGGTTATAGGTGAGAGAAGGGGCAGAGAGTTGACTTTGTCCTAATGTGCACCTCACATTGTCCAAAAGACTCTAGCTCTGGAGGACATGCATATTTTCTTAGTTAAAAAAGGTCCTGCCTCAGGAACATGGACAGCTCTCAGGCTTCCTGTCTCCTTTTGCTTAACTCCTAGGCAACTCATTTGGCTTCACAGATGACCTAATACAGGCTGGTGCCAGAAATACCTGGAAATGCGTGTCTATAATTGTGATTTAATATACTCTCATGTCTTTTCAGTGGACACCAAATTATCTACAAAAGTCAGAACATTCATGAAGACAATGAAGCCAGGGCTGACCCTGAGCTGTGGTAACAACCCTGATAGAGCTCTGAGAAGTTCAGCTTTGCCATAATTGCCTGAGAAATTCCTATAATGTTACCATTTGATACTTAAAAGCATGCAGTAATTTTTACACTAACTTGGACAAGATGACAGAAATACTTAGCTAATGAAATAAAAAGCTAAATAAATAAATAAATAACATCAAGATGTGTGTCTAGATTTGGGACAGTGCCCAGAGAAAAGAAAACAGAAAGGAGCTGGATTTGGATAGCTGTATGAGAGGTAAAATCTAAGGCCAACCTATGACCCTGCAACAATCAATTCATAGGTTATGTCTGCTAAGTACCACTGTCAAACTAAATAGAATAAATGTAAAACTGGTATTTCTAACAAAGACTGATTTCAAGCTGACTCTGTAGAGAGAGAGTCATGTTAAGCATTTAGGTGGAAACAGTAAACTAGAAAATAGTCTCTGATCATTAAAATCAGGAAATCTATCTCAACCACATAGAGTGGTGCTGGGGAGGGGCAGGGTAGCCACAACAAAGAGCAGTGAATGATTAAGAGCTTCCTGAACTGGCCTTCTAGGCTGAGTAAGATTTATAGCAGCAGAGACAGATAGGGTAGGCATTCGGAACTACTAAACTATAGCCTGAGCAAGGCACAAAAATTGGAGAGCATTAGGTCTTGTGAACAGCAAGTTTGACACCTGCTGGAGAGAAAAAGAGAAACGGACTCTGGACATATTTTGCATGCAATGAAGAAAAATAGTCGAAAATGTACATGACTAAAAACAAAGGTATAAAAATACAGTAAAATTGCACTTATCACTGTGTGGTTATTATGCTATCTATAAAAAGATCTCAGCATTGACTGTCAGCAGTGTTTCAAGTGGTTTGAGTCTATGTCTGGAAAACTATACTTGGTGACTCTTCTTTTTTTTCACCATGGGGTTGGTAACAACAGAGTCCTCAAGGCTACCTGTGAAACTTGCTTACTTTAACTCATGTCTAACAATAATAGCCTCAATTTTTAAGGACAAGCAACTCATTTTCTTGGTATTATGAGCCCCTTCTAAAGGAAAATGTAGAAATTTTCAATTTCTTTGACTATAGGTACAATCTACTAATCTCCTAATTTGCTGCATTACCTGCAGAGATCTGCTCTATATATAAACTTACACTGTCCAAAGTTAATGCAAAGTTTGAGGGGTTGGAAGGAACTCAGAAGAATAACAGTAAAGCATACCCTGAAACTGTAATGCTTCTGGTATTGCTCTATAAGTTGAATTGTGATAAATCTCATTCATATAAAGAATGTTGCTAAAATTTTTCATGTCATTAACAAAACACAACTAATGCGTACTTGTTTCCAGGTTTCTTTCCTTCTAAGGTATTTAGATGCTGCTCAAGGGTCTCCATAAGACTGCTGGGAGCCTACAATAAGAAAGTAAAAATAAACATCTGCATTGCTTTCTTTCAAAGTAAATACGCTGGAACAACACTGTAACGTTGTATGGTGGAGTTCTCTGAGTGGACCCTAACATATATGTGGGATAATTTCGTTCCAGGTTCTTTTGGTATTTAAATATTTCAATTCCACAGAATCTCAGACAGACCCATCTTATATATACTTAACTCCACTGCATAACAAATACATTACAGAGTAATTTCAGTGTAGAGATTACAGTGACAGACATTTTCTAAGATATTAATATACTTATATTCAGTAAACTTGATTAAATCAAGTTCACCACTTCACCACATACTTCCATAAGACCCCAGTGAAAGAAAAACAGGCATTTATATCCAAGTCAAAAACATTAAGTGCCCAAATACAAAGTCACATAAATTTGAAAATACAGTAAAAGCTCACTTGGCAACATTTGGCTGATATATTTGGAAACATTGCTGCTATATTTAAAAAGAGGGGCAAAGTGAGAATTGTGGTGAAAAGAATACAACTTTAATAGTTAAAAATTAAGGTTTTCTTATTGACCTATTTAATTTATATATATATATATATATAATGGTGTTAACTTTAGCAAATGTAATAATTTGAAATAGATTACTGTATATTAGAAGATATTTATATTTCAACTCTTACTAGAAAGTATCTGAAAGTTTGTTTTTTAATAGCATTTTAGACAATATAAAGTGATGGCATTTTACCGTATAGTAAAAGGAAAAAAATAGGTTTCTACAAATATTCCACCCCATCTATTCCTCAAACACTAGAAATTTAACTTCATCTTTCTCAAATAATTTTAAACCAAATCAGAAATTAACAGCAGCGTAGGCATTCAGAGAATATGCGTGAATGAAATATAGAGATATATTTATAGGTACATTTACTTCTGACAATTGTTCTTACAAAATTATTTTGACAGACTTTAAGCTAACTGCTAAAGTAGCTGACAGAATTTAAGAAAATTCATAGGGCTGCACGTATTACATTGCACATATAATGGCAAAATAAAATACAAACTTTTAAATATTAAAATTTTTTAATTTTGAAAATTCAGGATATTTATTTTCATTTTACAATAAGACTCATAAAAGTCTTAAAAATTATGTAATTATTATGTATATAATTATGTGGTTATTAATGTAAATTACTAAGTGAATCAAATGTGTAAATTCATAAATATAAATTACTAAGTCAATAAAAATTTTAACTTGATTGAAGTGATGAAGATAGGGTAGAAATGAATAGTCCTATGAGCATTATCTATAAAGTTATGAACTACAGAGAAGGAAAAAGTGATTGTTAAGAGGATATAATAAATTTTGAAAGTTATAAAATTAAAATATAAAAATACAACTCAGATGAAAGTAGATTTACTCGATAAGCCCAGAAAACAACTGGAAGTATACCTCTAACTTTAAAAAAATCCTATATGAGATAAAGGAAATTTTGCTGTAAAACAAATAGTGAGCTATAACGATACGCTCATTGAATAAATAGAAGACACTGTAACCTTAAAAAGAATAGAAATAGCTTTTTAGATGAATTCACACTTGGTAACTTCAAAACTGTCCTCCTCCTCCTCCTCCTCCTCCTCCTCCTAGTACTACCGGTACTACTACTACTAATTCTTGTCATAATAATAGAACCTAGGAAGCTTGGTCATGTAACTTAAAACTTCCCAAATTTTCACTAGCATCACAGTGAGAAAAAGCATATCAATCCATAGAAAAACCTAAAATCTCTCCAGTAGAAGATTCAGGTTCCCCAAATATTAAATGCAATATAAAGGAAACGTGTTTCTGTGCCAAATTTATTTTTTAATGCTACTTACAGTCACAAAATAGAGAACAATATAATTATGACAACAACAAAAGAGACAGTATTTCTCCAGTAAATTTCCTTAGTTGCCTAAAATAAGACAAAAACTATAAATCAAGAAGATAACTTGCAAGTTCATTCTTTTTGTAAAGTTTCTTAATTTAAGGAAGAAAATGAAAAATAAAGTAGTCACGAAAATCACCAAGGTTGAAAGAAATCTGACCAAGAACATGGGTAATAAAACTGACTCTTGTTTTTAAGAAGCGTTATTCTGTAATACACAGTACATAAAATTAAGTTTGGAACATTTCGTCTTAGACCTTTAACATTTATATTTCTCATGAGGAGATGCAAAACCTAACAGAAATAAACATCTCAAGTGCTTTTGGAGAAAAGTACTTTAGTAGAAATGTGCAGAAGAGCAGGAATATGCCTTCTTCTGGATCGTGCCTCGATGCAATGACCACATCTGGCAAGCAGATAGATACCAATTGATTCAATTTTTCAATAAGCAAAACTTTGGGAATGCCTCTGCTGTTGTAAAAGAAGCTTAAAATAACAAAATATAAGTAGCAGTGTCTTTAAGTTGCTTTTATTTTAGAGTCAAAGTCATAGACCAATCATAGAAATAGCAACCTAAAGAAAAAGTCAACCTGTAAAAGCTAAAAGGTAACAGTAATACTTATGGTTACCGATTCATCACTGGGACAGTCTTTAAAAGGTGACTTTTCTTTACCAGCAGTTCTCAGATCAACCAGAATTCCTGACATCAAAACCTAAGATTTTTTTCATAAATGGAGATATTTTAAATTGAAATACATATACTCAAACACACCAAACAGGAAAACAGTATTTTTAAAATCCTTTTCTTGAAACAAATTTGCAGTTTATTTCTGGTTGCAGATCAACCAGAATTCCTGACATCAAAACCTAAGATTTTTTTCATAAATGGAGATATTTTAAATTGAAATACATATACTCAAACACACCAAACAGGAAAACAGTATTTTTAAAATCCTTTTCTTGAAACAAATTTGCAGTTTATTGAGAGTCCAGGATCTCAAGGGAGCATTCATCTATAATTCAGATGTTTTAGATACTAAAGCACCATTGATACCAAAAATAGGGGAAAAGCAATCAACAGAACATTCAAATTTTTGATCATTAGATCTAAGAAACCATTTGAAAGTGCTGAAAACTGTTTCAGTTCTATTATCACATTCACTTCTAACCCAAAACAGATCTTACAAACATTTTAAAATGTCATTGATATTCCTAAGTCATTTATGCACAGTTATGCTATTATATGCACAATTTAAAAAGAGTTACATATCACCATACTGGTATTTACTGTGCCTTTTCCAACCTAAAAGACAGTAATTATATTCCTCTGTTCCATTCTGCTGTATCTAATCCTTTTTCAGTTACAAGCATCCCATTCCTACTCCAGTCAATGGGCGGCCCTCAGATTCTGATCTCCTCTTTAACTTCTTTAATTTTGGATGTTTTTGTTCATTGACCTGTTTAGATTCAGTGCTATGGCGGCCACACAGAAGCCAGGCAGACAGCAGAACCTAATAACATGTCTTAGAGGTGTTAACTGATTCCACACAATTTGGAATTTCTGATAAGTCTCCAGATTCATTCTAGTCCATTATTATCTGAGATAATGTTCACATTTCAGCTGAGACCTGACCATACTGTCATAGTAGGTCTAATAAGGAAGCCCATGCTTACTAGTTGGTCCCCAGAAATATCATTCATCTGCCACAACTTCATTTTTGAAAAAGATTATTTTACATATGGAAATGTCTCAACTTTAGGGGTGGGAAGAGGGGAAAATGCAGAAATATGATACCATAGTTCTCCATATCCATGTCCTTCCTTCATAACCAGGACATGGGGAAAACCAGAGAACAAGCAAGAAGAACAATTCAAATGTACTGATTATTATACCCACAAACAGTCACTTTTAATAGATAAAACACTTCTTAAGCATTACTTGAAGCTTCCTTTTAAGTTCAATAATGAAAAAATGAGCTTGATAAGTAAATTCAGTTGAAATTACATTTAAGGGTAAGAACATCTTTATATTATCTACAAAATATACTAAATATCTAGAAAAAATAAGTAACCATAAATTTCCAAGAAATTTATTACTCAAAAATTCAGAATGCATTAGCTTTTTACAAAACTATGATCTAGGCAAGACCATTTAAGACAAGCTATAGGATAATAATTTCATGCATGCTAAATCTTCCATCAGAGATTCACTTACCTGTGTGAGGTCAGGAATGTCACCTTTATCAATACCAACTTGCTGTGAAAAAAAATTTTACTAGTCAGAATTTTTTAAAAATCAATTTCTTTGCACTTCAGCAAAGATCACCCACAGAATTAGTGAAATCCACAATTCAATCTTGATAAAAGGTAATTAATGCCATATATCAATCTCACTTTGAGAATAGGCTGTTCATGTTTCCCATTCAGTATAATACACAAATACTTCATCACTCTTTGTAGACACAACAAATGTGTAGAATTTTGTTAGAACCCCCGAAAAGAACTTAAGAAACGAAAGTGTAAAATTTAAGGTTTCCTTGTAAGATAAATAACACAATTTCAGTTTTATATAAATGAGAAAGAGATAAGGTGGTTTAAACCATTGTCCTTCCCTGAGAAATGAAGTGATTTGACTACGCTGATGAAAATGTAGAGGCAACTACATGAAACATACCTCTGGACTACAAAGACAACGTGCAACCAAGGACTTGGAAAATCCTTGTGTGTCAAATGCTGCACTAACTTCTTTCCTTTGCATTTTCTTTTTTTAATAGAATTTATTTATTTATATATATTTTACATCATTGTTTATTTGTACAATGTTAGCTTTCTCCTCTCAGGTATAGTCCCTGTAACAGTCCCACCACCAACTCACCCATGAACCATCACCATAGTCCCTTGTGCTCTTCCCTCCCCCGTTGTGATCTCCCTCTCTCCCCATCCCATGCAGAATGTCTTTGATTTATAGTTGCCTGTTAATTTTGGTTTTTTATTTGTTATTTTTTTCCAAAGCCCTTATTTGGTTTTCATATATATATATAAATATATATATATATATATATATATATTTTATATATATATATACACACACCACATCTTCTTGATCCAGTCATCTATTTTGGGGCATTTGGGTTGTTTCCATCTTACCTACTATAAATAGTGCTGCAATAAACATAAGGGTGCAGGTATCCTTTTGAATTACTGTTTTTGTGTCCTTTGGGTAGATTTCTAGGAGTGGAATTGCTGGGTAATATGGTACTTCCATTGTAGGAACCTCCACACAGCTTTCCACAGTGGTTGAACCAGTCTGCATTCCCACCAGCACTGTAGGAGAGTTCCCTTTTCCTCCACATCCTTGACAACATTTGTTGCTGCCAGTTTTTTTAATATGTGCCATTCTTACTGGTGTAAGGTGGTATCTCATTGTGTTTCGATTTGCATTTCCCTTATTATAAGTGATGTTGAACATTTTTTCATATACCTGTTGGCCATTTTGCATTTCCTTTTTGGAGAAGTGTCTCCTGTACTTCTCTATGTCTAAATCAGGTTTCTTAACCTTGAGACTATTGACACTGTTAGATATCTTTGTTAGGGACTGTCTTGTGCACTGTATGATGGCAGCAGACCAGTAGCTCTCCCCCACTTTCCAGTTATGATAAAATATCTGCAGATATTGCACCCTAGAGAGGAGCGCAGAGCAAACTAGCCTCCTGTGGAGAGAACATTGACCTTCAGCCTTCTCGCTAAAGTCAGATTAGAGATTCCTCCAGAATTACAGGCTTTACCTGCTAATTACTATACTCTGGTTTGAGGGAAGCCACTAATGTTGCTCTAAACTCACTTATATTGTTACAAATTATATAAATTATAAACTAAGGAAACTTCATATTTTAATACTTCTTTAGAGGAGAAGAATTCTTCTTTTACATTGAATTTTTTTATCACCTGAACTTCTGAACCACAATTGAATTGGAAGATCGAACTGAAGTGTGATTATATTACAGAAATAACATCAGTTTCTGTCTGCATATATTCTGGGAGAAATAACTCCTACGATTTGGTATTTACCTTGGAATAGCAAACTAAGAATAACTGGGTTCTATAAAAGGGAAGTATGTTCAGCAGAAATGCCCATAACCCATAAAATAACCATTTTACAAAGTTTGCATTAGGAGACCTCAGTAAGAATTCAAAACATGTGAAGTCTGACATTTTAAGCAATATCTCTGGGAAATCTGAACATTTCCATACAATTGTTCAAATACTCTACATTCCTTTAAATATGATAGACAACTTATTGTTATCTTCTGCCAAATGGCATATACTTACGATGAGTTTTATTTTTAAACAACTTTTAAATAGAGCTTTATTTTAAAAATCACATTCTAGAAGTCTTCTACTCATTCTTCAGGCAAATGGTACTAAGGAAAAAGTAGCTACTGGGTATGAATACATACAACTATATACTATACAAGTACTGCTTGGTAGAAAGAGAAGCTTTGTACATTTGTTGAAAATTACCTGGGTTAATCATAACCAAACCATCAACACTGGTTTTCAAAGAATTTGTTTTAAAATAATGAATAAGGTAATTTAAATGTGAAAGAAAAAGTTATGATTACTTTGCTGTGGTTCAATGTAAGTTCTATTAGAAATAATTTGTAAATTAGATTCTATTCTATAAAAAGTTTTAGTTATAAAGTTTCAATAAAATGAAAGTATTTATTATTCAATTATTTAAGGGAAGACTCACAAAATGGCATCCTACTTCTGTTTGTCTCCTCAATAGGCTGAATTGTACCTGTGCTAATATGAGGTTGTCAGCAGGTACATAAAAAAAATTATGTCAACAGGTACATAATAAAATTCTATATAAAAGAAAATTTCAAAAAAACAGAACTGATTAAATAAAGGCCCCATTATTATGAAGTCCTTAAGCCCATCCTTGTAAAGATGATTAGAGAAAGGTGTACCCCATACTGTCACTTGTCCAGCACCTCAGCATTTTACTTATCTGATATATAAAATAACATATGCAAAAACTAGAAGTATATGCACGATGACTTAGTGAATAATGAAATTATCTATTCTGGGTGCCAAAGCATAACTATCTTTTCACAGGAAGAAATTAAACTTTACTATATTATATTGATATTACAGATAACAGTGGAAAAATATGCAACAGCAAGAGAAAAAGTTTCAAGCAATTATATCCTTTCTTAAAAAGTACCACCTATAAATCCATGAAGAAATACACATGAACAGGCTGTAACATATAATTTACATAAGTTAATCTATAACTTTAAATTCACATATTAAAAAAAGATTTTTATTCTGATTACAAATTGTAGGGCTCAAAGATGCAGACACAGTCATTTGCAATATTATTTTGGTCTCATCATTTGAGTATGACAATTATTACTCAAGCGAATAAATGAGATTGTAAATATAATGCATGGACTAAGTACTTTTGGAATTGTGTGTATAAATGCTTGTTCGTGTCTTCTCAGAATGGCAAAAATAGCAAACACATGGCGTGAATGCCCCATGTCCACAGCATTTTACACTTTGTTGTGGAGCTTCAAAATGGTGCTCACTCCAGTTAGTCCTAGGAATCTATTAGTTGACATGTAAGATAAAAGCCATTTTGTCATCTTGCCAAAGAACTACAATTACAGTGTCACAATTCCCTCTATCAATATGAATCAATAACTGGATTTTGTAATAGAAAACACTAATTTACAGACAATCTCAGGAATACCAACTGTTTCATTACAGTTATTTTTATTAAATATAAAGAAATCCTTAAGAAACAACTTACAAACTTTACAACATTATACTTTTTTGTTTTATTTTTTCATTGTTTTTAAATCACTGTCAAAAGTAAGAAAAAGCAGATTTTATGATTATCATTTACATATAAGAACAATGGACAGATTTTAATAAAATGTCATTTCCAGAAAGGAAATAATTTTAAATGAAATATAACCACTGAGTGGGATGGAGGAATGGACCACCTTCCAAATACGTACATGAACTCATTCCTGTACAGAACAATGACTGGGGCACAGGGGTGCAGCTGTGTGAGTACAGCTGAGTAAGAAGTTGGATGAGATGACTTGCAAAGCCATTCCAACCCTACTATGCTGTGACTAGATGGCACAGTGTCTTGCTAGATTGTAAATCGTGTTATTTACTCCAGATACCCGAGTAGATATTTTAAAATGACAATCCCAGCAAAGTCTCATTTTACTTACCTCTGCAACTTTGAGAAATTCAGACACTCGTGTCATTCTGGTTAGAAATCGTTTGTAAATTTCTAGAGCATCTTTGCATTGTCCTTTCTTCATTTCAAAAAACTTTTCTAGAAGACATGGATAAGCATTTTGAATGAATATTATATTCAATTTTCTTCTAAGCTTTTGTCAATACCATTACTTAATACATTGAAAAAAAAACCTTAATGCTGTAATCAAAATAGTGGACATTAAAACCTGTATGAGGTATTAAAGAACCTAAACAACATTAAGAAACTAAATTGTTTAAAATGGCTTAATGTTCTAAGGCAGCTCACATGAAACAACTTAAATAATTAAAATACAATTAAAGTAGAAGACTATATGAACCATTAAGCAGGTCAAATTCAGGATCCAAATATCCTATTAATTTGTTTTAGAAAACAGCATCACATTCTTGCTGATAACAATCTTAAAAGTCATGACTACATTCTTCTCCTTTTCTTACTAGTTCACTATAAATCTATATGTAAGCTACATGTTAAAGCAATAATCTGCAGACTTCCCTAAATTAAACAATTTTTAAAATGCCTACAGTCCATGTAAGTTGATACTTTCCTTAATTTGATAAATTTGACACTTCATTATATATTATTTCTTTCAAATATTATGTGTTCTTTGGCTATAAAATACTGGAGTTTTATGAAAAACATTTGGTTTACCAAACATTTCATGACTTTTTAAACTATAATTGTACATTCTTTCTCAACCATTAGTTCTCTTCTGAACTTTCAGGATGAGATTTCAGTCACAATGCAGATGGAGGTCAATGTCTACCAATAATTCTCAGGGAACCCTGGATCATAACTGATGGCTGAGTTGCATTAGCATTTTATATTCCCATGTTATTAAAATCACGTTATTTTGGGGGGCCTCCCTGGTGGTGCAAGGGGTTAAGATGCAACCTATGAAGCTGTCCACAGCCTCTGCAGCATGAGGTTAATTCCCCTCCCTGCCCCCCGGCCAGGGAGCAACTCACATGGCACAGCAGATCTCTCCTGACTCGCCCACTGCTCCCCTCAGCAGTGTACTTCAGTCAATCACCTGTTCTGTTCCCCACTCTGTCTCTGGTGAATCTTCTCACCCCCCACACCTCTGGCCTGTACCCCAGCTCTTGTATGCATAAATAAATAAATCTTTTAAAAAATCACGTTATTTTTATATTCTCTAATGTTTAAAGGTTTTCATTTCATTCGCCATGTAATTTTACTACCTTAAAAGTATTCTTAATTTTCTCAAGAAAGTTTTAATACATAATTACACAAAGAACTAATTATTGAGTATAGTTACACATTACCTTCTACAGATAGTCTTTTGATAATTTTACTTTTAATATGGACCTTCCCTGTAGCTATTCAAGAGAAGGAAAAAGATCCAGGAAACAAATACATAGAGTTTCTATTTATTAAGATTTGAGAGAAAGTGAGTTTTACAGAGTAGCCAAAAAGGGGAGGGGATCACTACAGATCCCTCACCCCAGATGGTATACTTGCATCACCATAGGAGACAAACTCTTGGTACTTGCTTGTAGCAACCTCCTGGTCCTCTGTTGTTCCAGTCCCTATCTCCTAGTGCTGCTGGCACTATTGCTATAGGCATTCAAAAAGGTGTTGAGGCATTGGTCTATGGATAAATAACCAAGGACTATATCCTGCAAGTTGCAAATGTAATACAAAGCCAATTAATCAAGACAAGAAAAATAAACTTCTCACCTCAAACCATAAAAACTAAAAATGAATATATATTAGCACCAGTGATGGAATAAAAAAATCTGGAAGTCTCAATGCATCATAACTGTATTACCAGCCTGAGGAGGAGGTCTGGGTAACAGTTTTAACTATATTTGTTTTTTTAAAAAGAAAAGAAAACACAGTGGAAAAAATAATAATGAGCACAGAAAAAATATGAGAATGCTTCAAATAGAATTAATGGACTGAATAAAATACCATAACTGAATTAAAAAATATCACAGAGGGCCTCAAGAATAGTTGTAGGTAGCTGATACAATCAGTGAGTAATACAATCATGTTCAGTGTAGAAAACACAAGCATTACTATCTGTGGTTATTTCCTGAACACAAAGCTGGAGTAGAAATACTTTGAGACTAACACAGGCCCCAAACTGGTTTCTTGATATCTGCAAAGATACATGGGTAGCAATTCCACCACTTTCCTAGTTAATTTGCATATCTGGTTTGTGCATAAAATGAATGGATTGTAGAGACTGACATGTTACTGTAAACTTAATAGTGATAACTCCTATTTGCAAAGACCCAGATGTATCCTCCAGTATAAAATCAGCAGAGTTCCTGACACTTGATAAGCAGCTATCAAATAAGCATACTCTTTATATTTTCCAATAAGTACTACCTGTCAGAAATAGTTTGTTTTCATGTGGAAGGGATGCAAGGACATCAACCTCTCTGGTTGTTATAAGCCCAAGGGATTTCGTTTTGATAACATCAGCATGTTTGCACCTAGTGTGCAAGAATTTTAGGTATGTAAGGCCCTTAGTAAGTCACATGCATGTTCAAAGGGTAGGAGACAGACGCTATGAAATTTCAAGTGATCTGCTACTCCAATTGTTTCTGAAGGGCCAAAAACCCACTCCTTGTGAAAGGTAAATTGCTTCATCTTGTATTCCCTATAACTAAAATGCAGGCACAGGTTTGCTGAGTTTTTCTGGTTTGGGAAGAAACATAAACAACATGTGTGTATATTGTGTTAAACAGAGTATCTCGTTATTTTTTCAGATCAGTAGAGTCCAGATCATGTGAAGGCTCTATAACTATTCCAAACTGGAATTACACGGACAATTGTTCCAGCAGATCTAATGGTACCCAAAGTGACTGCTGGAGGTCCAGTGCTGCAGAATGTCTCTGGCACATTCCAGTAGGAAAATACAATAAAAGTTTCTAGTGCTTGGAAGCAGAGCCATGTCTTCTTCAGATAGTAACTAATCTCCTTCTGGAAAAAATACTCTAACTTGCTTCTAGGTACTAAGATTCTGATGATGCAATACTGAATGATCAGACTTGAAATGTAATCCAATATATCAAGTCATAAAGTATGACAAGTGCAAGAATATCCCCTCAACAAATGGAATTAGATAAAAGACCAGCCTCTGGCAGATCTTGAAGAGCCATGCAGGTTGCATGAACAAATGGCTCATTCTCAGCACGCCTACTATCTTGCACTACCATTTCTCCTGGATAGCATGCCTGTTGTCTCTGGGGAGTTCTCATGACCAGCTGACTAAGAAAAAAAGAGAATGCAAGCTTGGTTTAACAATAGCTTTTCATGCTGGCACCAGTTGGAAGTGGTTTGCTGAATCATTGTATCTCCACAAAGGGATGACCTTGACAGAGATCTTTTACTATAGGCCAAAATTTAAGCAGTATATCTATATGATTTTCCACTTTATGTTAAAGAGAGACAGTGGGACATATGAAACTACACTGAAATATGAGCATATTAACTATGAACATAGTAAATACAAGAATAATAACTAACTTAGCCTGGATGACTAAGTACTTGGAAAAAATAAAATTGCAAGTTTGGGAAAGATGGTCTGGAGAAAAGGTAGTGGATATACCTCTTCTAATATACCTCTTCTAGACCAAAGGACACACACCATAAAAACGCTCTCAATTATCAGGGGGATAAGAGGACCCCATAGGTTGATGAATAAAGTGTCCATTATGTTAGAAATGGAGGTTATGAGTAGATTCACTAACGTGGACCGATATATCTGCCATCATTACTGAGACCACAGTTTGCCTATATCTGAGATCAACATCGAGCTTCCACAATAGCACCATATTCCAGGGAGACCAGCCATCTAGCAGGTAGCAAGTTAAGGATTTATTTCACCATGAGAGCAAGCAGCAATCTCTCTACACTGTAATAGATGGCTTTTCCTGGATATGGATTTGCTTCTCTGCCCATATTGCTCGCCAACACCACCATCTGTGGAATTACTCACCATCATGGTATCTCACACAACACTGCCTCTCCTGCACCAGAAGTGAGACAACAGACTGACCCCACAGACTGAATGTCTTACCACAAATTCCGTCAGTCCAAAAGTAGCTCGCCTTATATAATTTTAAAATAGCTTGCAAAAGATTTCACTTCACACAAGCTTCTTAAGAGTACACCTTAATGGAAGACTTGTGGGGGACTGGCTGTAGGCAGGGTGTGAAAGTATACAGCTATAGAGGTTGGAACCTACAACCCCCAGAGTGGACACAATGATGTGAACTTACTTAACTACAATAATCATACTTTGGAAAGGAACAAAAAGAATACACCTTAAGAAGTCAGCGCTGATAGTATATGTTCTGAAACAGTGACCAGTATATAGTGCATTATTTACTGTAGCAGGAGTGCATGGGTCCCAGGACCCAGGGACCAGATTGGCCTCTCTTGCTATTACACTCAATGACATGCAGAGACTTCACATTCTTGCACATCTCCAGGGGTGGCATTAGTGGTAGTCATTAGCATCATGGAGCATTACTTGTTATGAGACTTATTCCAAGAGGGTAATGGTTAGAACCTACTTTTGTGATTCTAATTTTTTTATATTTATTTATTTATTAATACAAGAACTGGGGTACAGGCCAGATTCACAGGAGGGTGAGAGGATTCACCAGAGACAGAGCGGGGAGCAGAACAGGCAGACTGATGAAATACACTGCTGAGGGGAGCAGCGGGCGTGACAGGAGAGGTTTGCCGCACCATGTGGGCCCCTCGCCAGCCGGCAGGGATTGAACCGGCGCTGCAGAGACTGCGGACAGCTTCACAGCGTGGCGCTCAACTGCCTGCGCCACCAGGGGAGGCCCCTGTGATTCTAAAATTTTATAAGCACCAAAACCCCTGTAGGAAATCCCTTCAGGCAAAAACATCCAGAGTGTTTTCCATTTTTTGCACTTTATTTTGACTGCCACTAAAAATACACAGAAAAATGTGACCTGAATGAACCACATAGTTCATTTTATATATTAAGTGTGCAGTATCCAAATTTTTGTATTCTGATATAGTAGTTAAAGACACAGGAAGTCCTACCTACCAAGTAAGTTAATAACTCCATCATTGTAGCAAGCAAAAAGTTTGATTAGATCTTTGAAAAGAAGCATAAATGCAGCATTTATGACGCCATTTGTTAGTTCATTTGGATGCACCTAGAAAAAGATGAAAATTTAATAGGTTAACTGCTTATCATCAAATGGTTATTTTTCACATTAAATTGTCTCATATGATTACTAAGAAGTTCATTCAAATTCTACAAATGTTAAATAACATTTAGTAACCCTACCAATATCAAAAAGGAGACTGCACTTTTTCCTTCAATTTCAGTCAGTGAAGCAAGTCCTGTCAATTACAGAATATATATACATCCTATCTGATGTAAACTCAATCAATCAAATCCAATGTTTGAATATCTGTGTTTAGTTGCTATGTTATGTATTCTATTACTCCCTCCCTTTGAATGGACCTTATGAAAGGATTCAGATTCCAGTTACTCAGCATGGAAACACAGTATAGGGAATAGTTACCTTAGCCAGCAAACCCTAAAATAGTACCTGAGACTCAGCATTCACCCATCCCCCAAAGACTAATAACCACATGAAAAATAATTTCTCCCCACTCCCCAATCTTTGCTCACAATTCCTCAAACTCTGTTCCTTTCCCTTTATGACTTTTCTCCTTTAAGGCTGCATCCTTTTTAAGGGCAAGGAAAAAGCAAAGAAGAATCAATGAATAGAAAGAATAAAATGAGAAGCAATTCCATAGCTACCTCCGGAAGCCTTACTGTAAAATCTATCAAACAACATTACAATGACTTGGTACTTTTACTGAAATTTCACATGAATTGGGTGTTGTGACCAGAATTCAATTATAGAATAAACCATATCACCTTAACAGAGATTTTAAGTTAGTAAATTCTTTGCAGAAAATCTTTATTTAGCAGCCAACAAAATAGAGGAAACTACAATGTGAGTTAAGAATCTCCCTACATGTCAGAATAGTCTATTTTTTTGTACAGATATGTTTTTAATTAAAATTGTAATTTTGATACAACTGTAAATTCATATGCAGTTATAAGCGGTAAATAGAGAGAAGCCACATATTATTTACCCTAATTCTCCCAATGATAATGTTCTCCAAAATTACAGTACAAGACCACAAACAGGATATAGATAAAAATAAAATCTACTAATTTTATTCATATTTCTTGAGTTTTACTTGGATTTATCTGTGTGTATTTCTGATTCTACACCACATTATCACATGTGTAGGTTAGAGTCTCTACTGACATAGTTGAGATGCAGGTATGGATTTAAGAGATTTAAGCAATAACTCATGTAGGAATTACCAGGAGAAAGGGATAAACCAAAAATAATCCTCATTGGTGGATGGTGTCATTTAACCAGTCCATACAGTGGTTTCTAACAGAAGGTCAAATTATTTAGTTGCTTGAAGGTATATTTTACAGATACTTCAGCCTGTCAAGCACAATAAAAAGGCCACCTACCTGCTTCAAACATGGCATTCCATACTTTCCCATGACTTAAAAATAAATACTGATAAACTGCTTGGACAAATCATTTCTATTGTACTAACAGCCTTTCTAAGTGCTCATTTAACTTACCCAAACGAAGGTGATCTAAATGTGTTAACTAAGGAAATTCCTGGTTTTACCTTCAGCCCAACATCAAATCAAAGGCATTATCAATTGTGTAAGAAACATTTTCTGGTGAGATACCTACATCAAATTCAAGCAGTGCATCAATTTGTCCCTGCAGTATTGGCATACTCTTTAGTAGCTTCTCGGGAGCCATTGTCCTCATTACACCATCAGCCCTACAATTTTTCATAAAAGAAAAATGATAAAAGTTTCCTTGTATATAGAAATTTCAAGGCCACATGCATTCTTCTAAGCTGTTTTTCCTTTTATTTCCTCTTTAACCTTGTGGGGTGATTTGAGATATGAAGAGATTGCAGTTGTTTCTCCCCTCTGCACTATTTCTTCCTAGCCATTCTCATTACTAAAGCAAATAGGCAATGTTTTCTATACTGCCCTCCAGAAGAAAACAACGTGGTCTTGATAAAAGAGGTCAACTAAAACTTTCAATGAATTTCTCAAAGTTCTCAATTTTTCTAAATCTGTAACAAAAGTAATAGTATTAAAATACAGATATCCTACATGTCACTTTGTGTATTTGTTTGAGAAAGGAAAAAGACACGTCCAAAATCTATAGGGCTGGGAGTATGGAATACATACTATTAACCATCAATTGCATTGCATGCAACATTTGGCCAAAAGGAGATAGTGTTTAACTAGTTGCAGGGGATGCAACTGGAAGGTAGTGTCGGAGGGTGTATCAGAGGGAGCACTGAACTTAATGTTCACCTTCAGGTATCTTAGGGAGCTACTGCATCCAGTGATGGTCCAGGAATGGCAGTATTGTAATACCTGAGGAGAATACCCAGGTGATGGAAGCAGACAATGCCAACTTTCAGGCTTCTTAACCTCAATGGTGACAAAAGCACCCCAAATTGTTTATGTGCTCCAAGAGGCTACCGTACAGCTGGGAACAGTGGCAATGGTTTCCCAAAGCCATGTACAAAGTCAGAGGAAGGCATATGAACTGGAATCATCTCTAATAAGAAGGGGATGAAGTAAAAACCTTAACTTTATGAAATGTTCACCTATAAGAAACTAATTAATTTTGAACAGGAAGTTTATATTTTTCACCATCATGATGAAATAGTTGAAAGATATGGTCAGGTTAGCTATTAGGAAAATAGAATTACATATTTTGTGTGGATTCTTGAGACTAAAATATTAAACCACCTACAATACATTAATTTCATTTCAACTTAGGAACAGGTTTGCATAAATTTATGGCTGAGCATTTCTGATTAAATTTAATCATCTATTTAGATGGAAATAAATGCAATCATGAAATAAAATGGAAATAATTCTGCTTTATAATGAGGTTTTCTTAATCAATGAGTAGTATTAAAAATTAGTTCAATTACAGGGTGTGCATATGTATGTGTTCTAGGACAGTATTATCTACAACAAAAGACCTCCATAACATATATGCAAAGTTTCAAAACACACTGAAATAGCTATGTCAAGTAGAGTTACTGCAATTTTAACTGAACCTACTCTTAATTCTCTCCATTCAAAATTATTTAATACCAATCTATGTTTAGGAATTTAACAAATAAAGCATTGTGCTATATAAACTCTAAGTAGTATTTTTTCTCTGCATGAAGATATAAATAAAATAATGCATATCGCAACTTCAAGGCTTACTTTGATAATATTAAATTGAATTTCTTTTCTCAAGTGACTGTAAAATGGGCCCTCATGATCAAAATTAGTTCACATTTAAACTTAGTTTTATAAAAACCAAGTATCCCTCAAAGCTTTATTCAGCTCAGATAAGTATGAGAAAGAAAAAACATACCCTTTCTTCACTCTGGCAAAGTCAAATGCCATCTGTCTGTAAGAGAAAGCCTTTTCATTCAAATATCTACTATAGCGCCTTATGAAGGTAGACATATCATAACCTGGGGTAAGGGGTAGAGGAAATAAAACAAATTAATAAAATTACCTTCAAGTGTGATTTGCTTAATACCTATTTTTAATTCCACAAATATAAATAATTCTAGGATGAGGTCAATAATTGTGTCAGATAGGACTCATTTAAAATCCTAATTAGGCAAGAAATACTTTTGGTACAAGACATTGCAAGGTTTTTCATGAAGTTATGCCACCACCTTTATACATAATATCTTTTCTGATTTTTCCTTGTTTACTGTTTTATACTTAATATAGGTAGCTGTCTGATAACTGTCTACTTGCTTGCTGCACTTGCTTTATACATAATAGGCAACCAGTAAATCTGATAATGACTGCAGTTCAATTTCTATCAGCTTACAAAGAAAATTTATCTAAAATTCTGAAAGTACTTCTTATTTCACTGCCTCTTATGCCTTTATAAATAAACAACTATAGGTCTAGCAGATATCCACTGTTACCTAATAAGGTAAACATTGAAGAAGACAAAAATATATGCTGTATGCTAGCAAATTATTGCTTAAAAAATATTTTAAAGTTACTATAAAGAAACTCTATATTTACTTTTACATTTTTTCTTAAATAACCAGTGAAATCATCAGTTACAATAATTTTGGACTAATACCCATACTTCAAAAACAAACAAATTCTGTATCAAAAGCATCAGCATAGAAATGATAAAAATAGTCTCACCATGAGATCCACTTTTGTCCAAAAAATTGCTGAGATTGAACAATGTATTCCTAGAGGCTAAATACTGAATAAATCTCTGAAAAACAAAAATTGGAAGTAAATACCAATATTTTCAAATCTTGCCTTTAAAGAATTTCTGATACTAAAGGAATGATTTTAATGAATTCTCATTGTGATCTCTTTTACTCAGTTATAGAGCTTCCTAGTTTGTTGCTTTCTGAGGAAGAAAAAAGGGACTGAAAAGTGCTTGCTGAATTAGAATTAAACTGTATGCTCCTTTGTTTCTGCGTAAAACAGAAACACTAAAATATAATAGGATACAACATATCAATAAAATCAGTAATTTTAATTAATATTTTCCAAAATTAAACATTTTTATGAAAGCAATTTTCACTACAAGACACAAAGGAGTATTTCCTATGATAAAAATAATTTTCCTGTTCTTTTCTCATGTTTCCCCCTACTAATACATTTACATGGTATACAAATTATAGGTACCAGAAAGAAAAGTCTAATTTAGCATTTATTTTTTGAAAAACAGTTGAAAGGAAGATTTAGATTGCACTCTAGATGATTTGAAACCACAGATTTCCTCTTCTTCTTCTTTTAATTAGTTAAATCTCAAAAGGCCCTAAGTCATCATACACTTCCATAAACTCTCTCTCCCCCAATGAAAATAGAACAGTTAATTTTGCTTAGTTTACCTCATTTCCATGCACCATGAGATGATGTGTTGTGACTAAAGCTTTAAATACAACCACCCAGCTACTGTTTGTTGCCCGCTCAAAGAGCGTGTCAGCCATCTGAGGAATATTAACATTGGTCTCATTGGTAGCCTGGATCAAATCTATGAAAACAGAAGATATTGATCAATAATATTGTCATTACATATAGATTAGTTTCAAATTTTAAACATCTAGACCTGCTTACTTAAATGAGTGAAAATTGATTTAGTATCTAGTAAAAAATTTAAAAAAATAAACTAATATTTGTATACATGGACATATAAATACATTATTTACTCAATGTATACTTTTTAGTTTATTGTTTCCTACTGAATTCTTTTCTATACACCCTTTCTGAATTTTATCTGTTTTCTGACACTAAAGTAATTTTTTTTAAATAAAAAATTCCAAGAAAGTCTGTAAAAATTCCGGGCTAAGTCTCATGTTAATCTTTGTTATGCCTGAATTTATAACACAGTTAAATGTCATTACACACTCACTATCCACATCCACATGTTATCAGTGTGATTCCACGTTATTGGTGTGATTCCACATGTACCTCAGAGAACAAATATTACTAGTGGTCCAGAGGGACTATTCAGCATTCAGAAAACAACTGATGAGTGTTGTCACAAAGTTAGCTGAGGCAACTGAAGAGCATGTGCTGAGGAAAAGACATCAAGTTACACTGGAGCAGTGTGGACATAAGAAAATACTTTTAACAGCCCAGAATAACCATACCCACCCACCCTGCACTGGACAGCATGTGATACCAGTTCCGGGAAACCCCATGTAACAATGCAGAGACAAATTATCCTTTTCCTTACTCAAAATCCAAATCAGCAATCATTAAGTTATATATTTGTTTTATGCATTTATTTTACAATAAACAGGTTTTAAAAAATTGATAGTCCATCGCTGGAAGAGCTCTTAATTCCAGGACTAAAGGGTATCAATAATTGTTCTGAATTAAAAATGGATCAAACCTGGCTTATTTCCTACTTTATTTTAAATTCCAATCATTATCTCAAACCCTTTAGCGCCCTTCTCTCATTACTGGAATTCCACTTATCCTTTAGAAGATCTTTCTGATTTCTTTTAAAAGCAACCCTATATGACCTTCCTCTGCTTTAAAGCTCAAGGCACTTTGTTCCTGCTGGATGTTCAGATTAAATGGTATCTGTCATAAGTTCCTACCATACCAGAGCTTCTGGAAGATGGAAACAGTCATATTAGTGTCTGTTTCCTGTACAGCACTTCAGAGAGTGCGGCCCACAATAAACATTTGTTGAACAAAATGTACACACACACACTTCATTCCAACATATATACAAGAAGCTCTTTGAAAACGAAAAAAATACAATATAACATCGCTTTCTGAAACTATATCATGGGACTACTTTATACTTGGAGATTTTTCTATTCCTTTATTCATTGAATTGGGTTCTGGGAATACAGAAATGCATTGCTGGCCAGAGGAGACAAATACTTGTTTAGATAATAATGACATTCCTGCAAGAGATGAGTAAAGAGAAGCAATGTGAGCAGAAAGAGGGTAGGTCCAGAACTCATCCTATCCCCTGTCGAAATGTGCAAATCTAAGCAAAAGACTTAACGTCTCATTGATTCAGGCCTCCATCTTTAAAATGAAGATAATAATTAGTGCCTTTAGGAGCTAGTATAAGAATTTCAAACTGTCTAAACAAAGTGGGCATCCAAAATAAATGTTTGTAAAAAATGTTTGTAAATATGGCTGTACGGACAGTGATTTATGAGAATACAAAGGGTATTGGGACAGTCTCCATGGGGAGGAAGGAGTTGAGTGGGATGCTAAAGTCAGCCATAATATGGGAGGCAAGTGAAAAAGACATTTTTAGTGAATATGCAAACCATGGAGCCATAAGAGGTTGTCAAAGTGTTAGCTATGTGCGGGCAGGTTGTGGGGATGAACTTATAAATCTAGGGAATAGCCAATGAGGGATCTCACATATGACATTTTATTTAAAGAGTTTGACTTCACCCTATGGACCAAGAGGGACTACTGCAAGTCTATTAGCAGAAATGTATCAATAAAGTTAAGCTTTTATAGCTATCCACATTATTCAGCAATTACTAAATACTACTGGTAAGGTAAACCGAGGTATAGGATAAGAAATAATCTCATTTTCCTGGAAAGATGACAAGAGTAAATAAGAAAGCCCAACTGAGAGTCAGAGATCAAGTAAATCTGAGCTAATGAAAAGGCAGTAAAAATAGAGGGATATCATGAGGGTGCAGAAAGACATTTAGGAGGCACAATGAACAGATTTTCAAGTGAACAAATGGATATTAGGGGTATGGGAAAAATTCTTGAACAATTCCAGATTTTTGGTTTGGGGTTTAATGAATACTTTTTTTTTTTCCCACTAAACTAGGAGGGTAATTGTTCAAAGGAGACATAAACTATTTTGGACACGCTACATTTGAAATAGCTGTTGGAGCTCCAAGTTAAAATGTCTCAAAGGGACTGGAAACATGTTCTAAGGCTCAGGAGGAACATTTGGCCTAGATACAAATTTGGGAACCACCAGCAATGAAGTGGGAATTGAAATCATATAAGCAGAAGGGGCAACCCAAAGATCTTAGAAATATCAATGAAGGTTATATTCTAAAAATAAAAAAAAAAAAGAATAAAGGCTAAAATAAAAGACCAACATTTAAGAGATGAATAGAAGAGAAGCGAAAGAACAGTCAGAATAATAAAGAGAAGGCCAGGAAAGTGAAATGGTGAAATCAATTAAGAAAAGAGCTTCAAAAATTTCAAGAGGCAACTATAGTTACTGGTGTCAAATATCACAGAAAGCCCTGATAAACTGAACCTCAAGAATAGAATGTACAACTAGGAGATTGCTGCCTTGTGAAACAGACTGGGGGTAAAAGGGAGAGGGTCACAGAAAGGTTTTTGTGGTTTAAAGATGGAAGAAATTTAAGTATGTTTGAGAAAAAGTAAAAAAGAAGTGAGGTCAAAATGAGAGTAAAGATAATTTATGGAAAATTCTATAGGCACAATGAGCTCTAGAATCCACAACTCAGATGTTAGCACTGAAGACAGGTATGGATGGATACTATTGAGAGGAGACAGAAGAATAATGACAGATATAAATGCTGCTGAAAAGCATGTCCTTTCAAATTCTTTGGGATTTTTTCTGACAAATGCAGTTGTGGCATTAGTAAGAATAAGTTAGTAACAATTAAATATTGACCTTAAAATACTCATCTTTTTAATATTCTATGTTAGGGGTTGTAAAACTACTGCTTGCTGGGCCAAGCTGGTCTGTTTCCTGTTTTCATAAATAAAGTTTTATTGGAATACAGCCATGCCAATTGTTTACATATTGTCTATAGCTGCTTTCACACTATCATGATACTGCTGGATAGTTGCAACACTCAATTCAAACTCAACTGAAGGATTCACAAAGCCTAAAATATTTATTCTCAGATCTTTCATAGGAAATGTTTGCCTACCCTATTTTGTCACTGAATGGAAAGTATGCAGACAGCATTTCTGATGCCTAACAAAGATCAATGGTTGCTTCAAGGAAAAGTAATTCTGTGTTCAAATTGTGAACTGAATTAACCACTTTCATTATAGACCACTATGTACTTGACAAAACAGACTTCAAACGATGGTGATTCAGAATTGGTATTCAGCAGTTATTTTCCAGAAAATAAAGTAAACCTGTCACTTCAAAGAAAACAAATGTCAGTACTTGTTACCAATGATAAAATTCAATCTTTCAAGCAAAACTTAGAACTATAGAAAACTTGCATCTGCCATAGTAAGTTTGACAGTTTTCCAATTCTTTGGGATTTTTCTAGTAAGTGTGGTTGTGGCATTAAGAATAAACTGTTGATATTACACAAAGAAATGTGTATATTTAGGGATGTGAATAACTTCATTAAACCAATATTTTCCAAATGATTAGTGCATAATGTTACAAAGTAATGCACTAAATCCATTCAAAGTACAGGCAGTTCAATGCCAATGGATTTTTATGCAACAGAGTACAACAGAACTATGGTGTGATATTAAAAATTAATATTCACAATTTTCTGAAAAGTTCATTAAAATAGTTCTCCCTTTACCAGTTGTGTGTCTGCGTGAGGTCATATTTTCCTTCAACATGTTAAAACAAAATATCCCAACAGACTAACTAGAAACAAAGAAGGAGATCCATTTTCTATTGAGCAAGACATTAAAGAGATTTGTAAATATATAAGTAATACCTTTTATTTGTTTTGGAAAATAACTATTTTCACCAAAAGATTACTTGTATTAACATGCCATAAGTTTGGTATTGTCATATAAAAATGAAAACTATTTGCAATCTTTCTCAGTTTTGATTTCTAATACAAATATATAAAGATATAATAATTCACATAAATGCTCTATGAATTCCTCAATAATTTAAGAGTACAATGGAATCCTACCATCAAATATCTTGAGAGTTGTTATCCTTGGTATCCACATAGAAAAAAAATTGCTGGTAGTAGGGTATGTACATATTTAACTTTATTAAATGTTTTTTATTGAGATAATATTGGCTCACAACATTGTAATTGGTAATGATTGTACCAATTTATATTATAATCTTAACAGCAGTTTATGAATTTATATGGCTCTATTTCTTCATGAAATAAAGGGTTTTCATTTAAAGAATTTAAAAAACATCTTAATGGGCTTGAAACCAAAGCATGGACATAAACATGAAGAAAAATATTCTTGACGATTAGGAGAATCTAAATGCCAAATATGTGTCATATTTTAATTCTTTAAAATTCAAGGTCAAAGTAAACACTGTTGAACTTGGGAAGACAAATCTGGTCATTCCAATGGCCTCATAGAATAAAAGTGAAAAGTATTATCTCTTCAATTTTCTGGAATATGTGCATTATTTTAGGGAGAGTTAAGGATTGTTAGTTTTTAAAAAGTTTGCTAGAATATGCCAATGGAATCTTTGGACCTGGAGTTGTTTTACTGGCAAAACAACTATGTGATATGTTTTGCTCAGTTTCTTCAGTCTCAGACAGGAGGATAAATACAGACCCTGTTATTCCATTTTGCCACAAAGTACAAGCCTCT